TTCCCCAGTTTCTCATTTTTGCAAACTTAAATGTGGCTTGCCACATTTTGCAGCAATCAGACATTAATAATAATTTTTTAAAAAATCACAAAAATTCATCAGTATTTTAGGGCAAATTTCTCCATATGAACACATCCTTGTATGCAGTTTTTGTAAGCAATTTCTCTTAATATTATGTAATTTTGTATGTTATGTTATGTATATTTTTGCTCACTTTCCAGTATTATTATGCATTTTTCTTAACATTGGTTGGTTGAACTGAATCACAACATTCAGATACACGCGAATTTCATCCATGTGTCAGTTTGCATATTGCTTCAGAAAGTGTGGATTTGATCGAATCAGCTTTAAAAGCAAACTGAATCAAATTTCTCCTCCATCTCTATTCCCAACCCTATGGTTTGTGTTTGTTTGTTTGTGTGTGTGTATGCATGAAATGCTAACGAAACAAGGCCTTGACAAAGTTGGGGAAAAATGAAAAGCAGATATTTTATCAGGGAAAAAGAAAATGGAAAGTCATCCTAGCATCTCCAGAAGAGAAAGCCAGGGGGGAAGACTCTGAAGATACAGCATTCTGTACTTGCCCTCAGGTCATTCTATAGCTGCTAATTTCTGCGCTTAATGTCTTATAGGAAGTTTATTGGACCATCAGGGATTTTCTATTGATGGTCTATGTGTAGAGGTCAGTGAAGGAAGACCAGATGTTCTGGTACATTTCATAAGGGTTTCTCTTTCATCTGTTTCTGAATGGCAAGGTCAGCTATATTGTACATTCCCCTAATAACTGGGGATGCCAGAGTTGGCTTGGCTTCTCACTTTATAAGATTTGCTTCTCAACTACCAAAGCTCTGTGTTGCAGTGTGTTCATTTAATGTCCAGAGGATACAGATGCATTCCGACACTAGTATAATTGCAGGAAGATTAAGAAAAGGGTTTAAATGAAACTAGCCTGAGATAATTGACCCAGAATCCTTATATTATACAGTAAATTTACCTCATTTATTTGGATGACCTCCTTTGCAAGTGCCTATGTCCTTCTAGTTAGTTATTTGTGTTTCTTTATTCAGGTTACATATATATCTTCATCTGAAGATCCCAGGGTGGTGTACAATATTAAGAATGCATTTTACAGAACATAAGAATAAAAACATAATAGAATACAGTGGTGCCTCCGGTTGCGGACGGGATCTGTTCCATAGCTCCAGTCGGATTCCAAGGTTTCCGCAACTGGAGGGACTGCTTCTCCACACACACACACGCAGCGGCAGAGTACTTCTGCGCATGCGTGCATGGCAAAAACCCAGAAATATACTTCTGGGTTTCCCACTTACGTATCCTGAAGTTTACGTAAGCAGAGGGATATGTAAGTGGAGGTACAACAGTAATAATAAAATAATCATAATAACAGCCACCGCCCAGCTTTAACAAACCATAAATTATGTAATAACCAAAGGCTATAGTAAAGAGGAGTGTTTTGCCTGGTGCCTAAAGGCATATAATGGCGGCCCTAGGTGAGTCTCTCTGGAGAGAGCATTCCATAAATGGGGAGCCACCACAGAAAAGGCCCGTTCTTGTGTTGCCACCCTCTGGACCTCTCAGGAAGAAGGGACGCGGAGAAGGGCCTCAGATGACGAGCCCAGGGTCCAGGTTAGTTTGTATGGAGAGAGGCAGTTTTTAGAAGTCATGAGCTGTGTAAGCCTTAGTGGGTCAGCACCTATAGTGACTGTGGTACATATAGATCAACATAACTTGAATAACAGCTTCTCATTTATGAAGCACAATGCACAGCTCAGGTTGAAATAACATGTTAGGTATGGCATAGGGATGCTCTCAAAAACTGCACCCTTCTGTTTACATCTTCTCTAACGAATAATGTGTAGGATTCCTGTGATGTCATAATGTTATGAGTTTTCCTGTCCCACCGTTGGAAACCACAAAAAACAAAGCAAAACAGGTGATGTAGAGATACATGGTAATTCTTGTATGAGAGAGGTGAGTGGTAATTGTTACTTGAACATTGTGGTTCTGCCTAAAGAATCTCATTAGCTTCTGCTGCAGCTGCATGGCATTGACTCATGTTTAGCTTGTCATCAATTGCTATCATAAGATCCCTTTGCCCAGCTAGCTATCCGCCAGTGTGGTGTAGTGGTTAAGAACAGTGGACACGTAATCTGCATAGCTGTCAACTTACAGATTTGAAAATAAGGGACCAGCAGCCTCGAAAATAAGGGATCAGCAGCCAAAATAAGGGATTTTAGTCAACCAGCTGAAATACGAAGTTAAAAGGGACCAGATAATTTTGGAGAGATTTTTAGCCGGTTTTTAGCCCTTTGTTTCCAGTGGTTGCTGCTCAAGACACCAGCTGATGAAACACTGCAATTAAATAACTACAAGCAGCAACCACTTTTCACGCAAAACTAAGTCCAAGCTACGAAGATGCTGCTGTAGTTCTGTATCTTTTCACTCATGCTCCATCTGCAGCTCTCAGTTCCATCAGGTGGGGCAGGAGGAAGAGGGGAGGGAATAGTGCCCGAAGTAAACCCGCAGATCAGACCATCTATGCTAGTCTACCACTACAAATCTATGGGAGAAGCGCTTGCGGTCCTTCCTCTGCTTTCCCCCTCTATGATTAGCCCTTGGAACACCTGCCCGCACCTCCGCCTCCACCTCCGCCTCCTCCTCCTCTGTCTGAACTGCTTTCTCTATGGTTGCACTCACTCTCCTCTCAAGGCTCCTCAGCAATTCATAGGCCGTGCCAGGCTGCCCATCTCATCCGGGTCCTTCGGCAGCGCAGCCGCAGTACGGCCTAGCAGGAGCGGCGGCAGCGGCGGCGGGCAGAGGGGAGGCCCCAGGCAGAGACGCTCAGTTCAGCGGCCATGAGGAGGATGGTGCCAGAAGGGCCCGAGGCTCCCGCCAGTCCCGGCGGGGAGGGGCTCCCGGGGGCCGAGGCTGGTGAGAGGAGGCCAGAGGGGGGTGGGCCGGGCAGCCAAGCAACACAGTTGGAGCCTCCCTCCTCCCTGGCTGGCAGGGAGGGAGGGAGAGGAGCTGCTTCCTTTGAAACCCAGGAAATTTAAGGGACATCATCAATAAGGGACAGAAGCGGGACACAGCGCTGGGATAAGGGAGTTTCCCACCAAATAAGGGACGGTTGACAGCTATGGTAATCTGGTGAACTGGGTTCGCTTCCCCGCTCCTCCACATGCAGCTGCTGGGTGACCTTGGGCCAGTCACACTTCTCTGAAGTCTCTCAGCCTCACTTGCCTCACAGAGTGTTTGTTGGGTGGGGGAAGGGAAAGGAGATTGTTAGCCGCTTTGAGACTCTTTAGGGTAGTGATAAAGCGGGATATCAAATCCAAACTCCTCCTCCTCCTCCTCCTCCTCCTCCTCCTCCTCCTCCTCCTCCTCTTCTTCTTCTTCTTCTTCTTCTTCTTCTTCTTCTTCTATCAGAATCTACCTATTAGATCTTGACTTTTGTTCTGGGGCAGCAGAGGAGTCTTTGTCCTTTTCTTCGTGACAACCCTCCAGGTATTTGGAGAGTCCCATCATGCCTGCACCCCTTCTAAGTTTTCTCTTCTCTGGGAAAAGCATGCCATGTCCTTGAGCTTTCCTCATAACCATTTCTTTTATAATCATTCCACATTCTTTGTAATATGCAGTTGTTTTTCAAGCTAAAGTTTGGACTAGCAGGGAAATGGACAATGACTATTAAAACAAAAACAAAACAATTCCCTCACCAGGTGGGGAGAGTACAATTCTAATACAAAATCACACTGAGAATTATATTTTACTATAAAGGTTGAGAATGACAAATCAGAAAACTCATATTCTCAAAATAACTTAACGCTTAGAGATTCCAAAGTCCATTGGATTCCAAAGTCATATTAGTTGTGCCTTGCATTACTTCACGCTGCGATCCTTTTCATTGAACTAAAAGCCACACAGTGTTTGCCACTCATTGGAAAATGAGACTGAATGGAATCCAGAATCAATTTTTGTGTCTATATGTGAAAGTGTACTAGCCTAGACAGCATGATAAAGACCTTCCTAAGAGAGTTTGAGAGGCTTCCTCAAGTAGAAGGAAGGTGTGCAAAAATATGCTTCAGAGCTTTGCCTGACAAGAAACAGCCAAAACAGAGTTGGCATGTTATCATCTCGTGTCTGCCTGTTAATTTAGAGAAGGTACAATAAGCATGCAATGAGCTGATTTGGTTCTTGAGGGGATGACTTAGCTAGTTGTTTCCAATTTTTTTTGGAATGCCATACATTGCAAGAATATTGGTCTTGCAAATAAGACTACAAGTTACTAATCTTCTCCATACTCCATTTTCCTTGCCTACTCACACTGTCATTACTTATGTGAGATCTAAAAGAAAAACAGCAATGACAAGTTGATAACCCACTTTTGTAATGACATAGCAATGAGAACCAACTCTGCCAGTTTGACAGGAGACTATTCTTCCTCACCAAGAAAGAAGCTATGCGGACAAATCTCTCATTCAAATTAGGCTGTGTAAAATAATAATAATAATAGAACCGCGTGTTTTAGCAAAAAAATCTTCTTTTGTTCACCAGGAGGCACCTATTTCCTTGGTTGTTTTCAACCACTTCTTTTTTTATGATTATTGAGAGCCAGCGTGGTATAGTGATTAGTGTGTCACACTAGGACCTGGGACACCGGGCTTCAAATGCATACTCAGTCATGGGTGACCTTGAGCCAGTCAGTGCCTCTCATCCTTACCTACCTCACAGGGCATTAATTGGGAAGGGGGAGAATCTTGTGTGCCACGCTGAGCTCCTTGGAAGAAGGATAGGATAGAAATGCAATAAATAAATAAAAATGTGAGAGAGAAACTAACACATTCAACTATGAATTGCTAGATTGTGTTTTTAGCCATTTGTCATTAGTAAGTTTGGGTGGCGCTGTGGGTTAAACCACAGAGCCTAGGGCTTGCTGATCAGAATGTCTGCGGTTCGAATCCCCACAACGGGGTGAGCTCCCGTTGCTCAGTCCCAGCTCCTGCCAACCTAGCAGTTTGAAAGCAGATCGAAGTGCAAGTAGATAAATAGGTACCGCTCCAGCGGGATGGTAAACAGCGGTTCCGTGCGCTGCTCTGGTTTCACCAGAAGCGGCTTAGTCATGCTGGCCACATGACCCAGAAGCTGTATGCTGGCTCCCTCGGCCAATAAAGTGAGATGAACGCCGCAACCCCAGAGTAGGTCACGACTGGACCTAATGGTCAGGGGTCCCTTTACCTTTACATTAGTAAGTCTCCCACCACCCCGTGTGTGTGTGTGTGTGTGTGTGTGTGTGAAAGAGAGAGAGAGAGAGAATAAATATGCATATTCAGATGAGTTCAAAATATGAATTCCTTCCCCGTGGCTTACAGATTCTCCACTGCCAGTTCTCCCCCTCCACTCTTCCCAAACAAAAAATCTACAGACACCCCAAACATCTGAATTTTGAGAACTGGGAAGGGCTAAATAGAAATGAGGAAGGCAGCTCCGTCATTAGCAGATGTAGCACCAGGGTGCAAATATCCACCCCCAAATTACCACAGATTGAGGGGGGGTGCAGCTTCCATCCTAAGCCTCTGCAGGGATCGGTCTCCTTTTGTGGAGGCTTGGGAGGCAAGTTGCACGCCCGCCAACCATCTGGTTGACTGGGTGCAGCTGACGGGCATCCAGGGAAAGGGGAGGCCACCAGCAAAACTGTGCAGCTCCCCCGTTCACTGGGGCACCCTTGAGAGGTCGGCACCCTGGCACAATGCACCACTAAGCCCTATGGGAAAGACGGCTCTGGAGGAAGGCAATAAGTTGTTTTTACAATAATAAGGAAGTGGGGGTAAAGGCTGGGGAGAGAGGCTGAAAAGTTTGAGAAAGATCAAAAGTTTTTCAAGGAGAGTTGTACAGAGTCTGCCCATCACTTTGTGACACCAATTATCACTGCTTCAACCTTTCAGCCAAGGAGGATGGGGGCTGGGGGCAAGAGCATATTAAGGCAGGGTGCTAAGAGTTTGTTTTAAAGAGGGGTCTGACGTGCACAAAGTTAGATGGTAGATTGAATCAGGTGGAATGTGTGAGGGCCCTATTTGTGCCTGCCAAGTTAGACTTAACCTTTGAAGAGTGGCATCTGAAATTCTTCTGCATCTGAAACCTTGCCAGTCAGGATGAAATCTGACATCTGGAACATCAGCTCCAAAAGGTCTTGAGCTAATTCTAGGGTATAGTGTAGCTTTGATTCAGTGTACCTTCAAATCACCTTGGAGATGGCAAAATCCTAATTATGCTGTGAATAGCTGTACCTTTGCACTTCCCAAAATGCAGACATGTTCCAAAGAAAGCAATAGGTTTCCTCACTGCTCTTTCAGCTACCTGAGAAAGAAAGAAAAATGGCATATTTTTGTGGAAGATGTTGTGCAGCTAAGTCAACTGACTAGGATGGAGAAGGGTGTTCAATATCCTAGCACCCTGTGAAACAGAAAATCAACTTTCATTTTTAATGGAAAGCAATAATGAGCAGTATACCAGCACTCTACTCAATAGTAAGCAGTCTGAGCTCTGAATGCGAAACTAGGTTCACTTTGAATGTTATCTGTCATAATGATGGAAGCAACCACTAAGAAATTATAAAAAGGAGGAACAGCAACAGTAGCAACAAACATATCCAGAACATGTGATGCTGGTGTTTGGAAAAGCTTTGTGGGTTGTTGTTTTTTTAATGTTTGCTTCAGAAAAAGAAAATGGGAATGTTACGCACATCCATCTGTAATCCATCACCAGTTCATTCAACAGTTTCAAATGATGAAGTGCATAACTTATAATTATGCAAAGACAAGTTTTTAAAAAATGGGAAAGGAAATTGAAGCATGCAGAAATTAGTATTCACTTTAGGAGCTCTTTGGAACACATTGTAAGATGTCTTCTTTAATTGCAAAATGTGTATGTCCCGTCATTTCTATGCTAAGAGGAAGACTGTGCCAGCTGAAACACAGCATTAATGCATGCTGGATTTTTACTGTGCTGTAAATTGCTTTGTTGCATGAATCAAACATTTCAGCAAGAGCTTTTTAATTATTGTTTCTTTCCAAAGCATGGGAGGAGAGCTAGTGATGAGGATTTGATTGCCTAAGTAACATTAAAAGCGCTGTCAATAGGAAGGCATGGGCAGTTTTTGCACTTGGAAGCATTCTGCACCGCAGTTTGAAAGACTTCAAAAAGGAGGAGACATGTTATATTAAGAAATGAATGCCCTGCTCTCCAAGGACTGGCAGCTTGGAAAATGAAAATGTCGATTTCCTTGGAGAATGAGGACTACAGGAACAATGCCATCAGCAGCTTAACAAATGTCCTACACTGAGCTGAAGCATTTGAAACATAATCTAAGTCTTAATTCCATTGTTGTTGTTTAGTCATTTAGTCATGTCCGACTCTTCGTGACCCCCTGGACCAGAGCACGCCAGGCACTTCTGTCTTCCACTGCCTCCCAGAGTTTGGTCAAACTCATGCTGGTAGCGTTGAGAACACTGCCCAGCCATCTCATCCTCTGTCATTCCCTTCTCCTTGTGCCCTCAATCTTTCCCAACATCAGGGTCTTTTCCAGGGAGTCTTCTCTTCTCATGAGGTGGCCAAAGTACTGGAGCCTCAGCTTCAGGATCTGTCCTTCCAGTGAGCACTCAGGGCTGATTTCCTTAAGAATGGTTAGGTTTGCTCTTCTTGCAGTCCATGGGACTCTCAAAAATCTCCTCCAGCGCCATAATTCAAAGCATCAATTCTTTGGCGAGCAGCATTCTTAATTAATTAATTGCATTAGGGGTAATAAATTGCCTTTTTACCAGCAGGTTTCTCTTTGCAAGTATTATAAATGCTCTGATCAACTCTGCTTAAGAGAGGCTGTTTGCTGCTGGACCTAACTGAAGGTTCTGATTATTATTATTATTTGGATAATCTTGGATAAATTTGGATAAACTGGGTGAGCCCTGCATTTGTTAAGCTCTATTGATCCCTTACAAGTTGGCCAGTGATTGCTAGCACCATCTGTCTCTCCACCCCCACCCCCACCCCAAAACTGCTTTTCTGATATTTTATTTGCCAGGTTATGGAGCAGGACTTATACTATGGTAGTAGTGCCCACTTTATCTATTTCATAAAATTTATACACTTGCTTGATTGGGGGGGGGGTGCCCTCAAAGCAGTTATATGGAACACCAAACCTGGAAAAGTCTACCTACCCTTCTCATTGACCTCTTTTGCTGCTGAGCTCAAACCTTGCTATTCCAGATGTCATCATCCCCTTGAATTTCTGTTGAAACATTCAGAAATTAGTGTTCCATCTCGGAACGCAGCCAGCATTTTTAAACACAATGTCATCTTTAATTGTCCCATCATTTCTTCGCTAAGAGGAAAGCTGTCTTCACTGTGCTGTTCAATTTCTTGATTGCTTTGATGCTGTGTTTTATCACTGAGGTTATTGTTTTATATTATTCTGGATGTATAAATCGTTGATTTTGATTGACACGTATTATAGGTCACCTTGAATATTCCGACAAAGGTGACCAAACTCCCAAGAACTGTGCTACAAGAACCATTCGCTGTGTCCACTAGAGATTTGGACTTCTATTTCTTTTTATTATTTATATGGTGGCCATCAGACTGGGTTGCCCTAGCCAATCTGGGCAGCTTCCAAAAGTTGCTATGTCAAGGCAACATTTCTGTGGCCTACGAAAACATGGTACCAGGTTGCTCAGGAGATGCACCTTGACATTGTATGCTTTAAGGGCCTGTGAGAATTGGGGTCTTCTCAGGGGAAAGCGACAACTCAGTTTTGAAATGCACTTTTATAGCAATAGGTGGGGAAAGTTAACTATAAAATGCTGTCGGCCAATTTGGTTTTGGGGCAGAGGGGTGACATTTTCAGTCTCTCTACAGGAATGAAGATTTTCAAGTAACTTTACATGTTCACAAAAATGATACTTGGACAATAACTGCTGACACAACACTGAATTTTGGAGAAATCCCTATTGTAAACCTTCGATTTTTAGGCTAATTGTTTATTTTCCAGCAGATACCCAATCCCATTATGTAGCTTTCCAAAGTCATCTCTGAGAGCATGCTCTTGTCTCCAATACCGCCCCCCCCCCCCAGCTTATCTCTGAAACACAGAAAAGTAAATGTTTTGCACTGGGGAGCAAAAGACGTAGAAATCAATGCAGGTCCCCTTAATGGCACATACCTAGTGAATCATTGTTGTGCTATGCTATGAAATAGAGAAGAAATTAATCACTCTCCCTCTAGTTCATTCTTTAAAAAGCAACAACACTGTTCTGTGAATAATCTTCAAGTATTATTTAGGTGAGATTAACAAAAATCTATTTTTTGTTTAAAACTATTGTTGCCTCCATGGTCGCAGAGTAGGGCCCAGCCACAATGATCTCTCAGCTTCATCACCTGATTTCCTGCATTGTTGCTCTAGCATTGTAATACCATTTCTTTCTTTTTCCTTTTTCCTTTTCTTTCCTTTTGCCCCTGAGCTCAGCAGTTGGTAGGTCAGTTATGGGGTACTACTGAAGGAGCTTAGGGACTCGGGTGGCGCTGTGGTCTAAACCACTGAACCTAGGGCTTGCCGATCAGAAGGTCAGCAGTTCGAAGTCCTGTGATGGGGTGAGCTTCCATTGCTAGGTCCCAGCTCCTGCCCACCTAGCAGTTCAAAAGCATGTCAAAGTGCAAGTAGATAAATAGGTATCACTCTGGCGGGAAGGTAAACAGTGTTTCCGTGTGCTGCTCTGGTTTTGGTGTTCCATTGTGCCAGAAGAGGCTTAGTCATGCTGGCCACATGACCCAGAAAAACTGTCTGTGGAGAAACACAGTGTTTGAGAGCCAGTGTGGTGTAGTGGTTAAGAGCGATGGACTCGTAATCTGGGGAACCGGGTTCGCATCTCCGCTCCTCCACATGCAGCTGCTGGGTGACCTTGGGCTAGTCACACTTCTCTGAAGTCTCTCAGCCCCACCCACCTCACAGAGTGTTTGTTGTGGGGGAGGAAGGGAAAGGAGAATGTTGGCCGCTTTGAGACTCCTTTGGGTAGTGATAAAGCGGGATATCAAATCCAAACTCCTCCTCCTCCTCCTCCTCCTCCTCCTCCTCCTCCTCCTCTTCTTCTTCTTCTTCTTCCTCTTCTTCCTCTTCTTCTTCTTCTTCTTCTTCTTCTTCTTCTTCTTCTTCTTCCCTCGGTCAGTAAAGCAAGATGAGCACCACAACCCCAGAGTCATTCGTGACTGGACTTAACGGTCAGTGGTCCTTTACCTTTTTTTTTTTTTTTTTTTACTGAAGCAGCTTAACAATGTAAGAGAAGAGGTTGTGGAGATGAGTGGTGCAACTGTACACTACATCGGCCTACTTCTTCATGTCAAAAATCAGGACACATGTTCTCCTGAGTGATGTGCTCCTGAGTGTATCTTGTTACCTGCACAGACCAAATACCAGCTATGGATGTGTTGAATTGGCCCTCTTCTTTCTATAGAGTTGGCTACCTTTCAGCTCCATGATTACTACATATAATGGTATGGGGTTGCTCGTGCGTAAGTTGCCGCCTCTCCTGGCTATGTTGCCTTGTTAAACCTTTCTGTCTGGACAGCCCTTCAATTCGTGACTGCCTCAGTCGCTAGCAGAATCCGTCAGTGGGCGTTTCTTAAACCTTTTCCAACATAAAAGTTGTTTGACACCCAGTCTCCTCCTATTTTCGCAGCGCGGAAGTCTTCTGCACAGGGAGGGCGTGGGTAGCGGAGGACCAGTGCTCTCCCCGCTGGTGTCCGGTGAAGAGTCTGGGAGCCCTCTCACCGATTCCCCCATCTGCCCCTCCTTATTCCTGGTGTTGCACTGAATTGCTTCCCCATCTGCTGAGCTGCCTCTCTCCCTGCTGGGCCCTTCTCCAGCATCATTAGAGAGCCTTGCCTCCACCTCTAGCTCCGATGTCAGTTCCCTGACACTACAGGATGTCCTTGTAATATCTTGAATACCCTGGCTTTTAGGTAGGGCAGGCCCAAGACATTCTTGCATCTGAGGCAAACAAAACAACATCCCTCTTCCACTGGGGAAGAAGGAATGAGCGAAAATCTAAATCAGGACTCAAGCGGGGAAAATAAAGATCTACATTGGTATCTGCTGCCCCTGTGGATCCTGCCACAAAAGGTGGTCACCTCACCTTGTCTCACGGGCGGGCCAACTTTGTTTTTAGAATCAATGGCCCTAAATTGATTATACATCTGGATACTCCTTTGCTTTGAGCAGAAGGTACATTAAGATGTGCGTTCAATCACATAACCTTATTCTTAAACTATCCACAGACTTTTTCAAGATTTTTTTCACATCCATCGCTTGAAGTTTTCTGCCCCTACCACACACACACACTTTTATGGAAAGCAAATTGAACAGAAAGTGACTCAGGATAATAATTAGCTAAGCTGCAACAAAAACCACCTCAGAAATCAAATCTGCCACACCCACTGCAACCTGATTCCAACTCGCAAGCTTCTCCAAGTGAAATCCAAGTGCTTTGCTTTTGTGAAAAATAATATTAAGAATTCATTTACCTATCTCATTAAAATTAAATTAACAGTTTGCTTGTATGGTGTACATAAAGAGTCAGTGGAAATGCCATTGCTCGACCTTACACACACACACCAATCCAGAAGAGAAAAGCTCCAGTCCAATGCAATTAAATAATTTGAAGAGGAACTAAGTAATTTGGAAGTTAAATCCCTAATGTCAGGCTGTTTCAGAAGTCATCTTTTAGTATGTCATTGAAGGCAGCTTTATGTCTAGCCATGTCTATCTGCCATGACTAATGATCGCTGTTTCAACTGAGAAAGGCCTTAGGGTGTGTACTGAAAAAGAGATTGTTATGCAAAAAGAGGGTGAGGGTAAGAAAACTGTGTGTTAGACCAGTATTATGTTCATATTGGTGTTAATAAGGAAGAAATGAATTTTCTGCAAATCCTTCTGGTATGAACACCTTAAGTTTTCAAATCCCATCTCTAGTACTTACATCAACAGTGCAGAAAAATATATTACATGAACAAATAGTGTACTCTTGTTAGAAATGAAGATTGTAATATTAATGGCAATGTCCTCCATTTCAAAAATAGTTACCCCATGGATTTTCTTTTAAATATTTTAACTCAAGATTGCTGAGAAATGCATTTGAAAATAGGGTCAGTGCCTTCAAAGATTATCTCCCATGTTTGCCTTGCACACAATTCTCAGTGACGCATTGTTGATGTCACACTAGTGATGCAAGAAGGAATTTCTGCCCTTTGGATTTACCTACACCAAGTATTTCTTCACTTGATGCCTTGGAAGGCATGGGCTCAAAAAATAATTCTCCATTTTATTTAGCAGGATTTATATATCATTTAATCATCATCATCAGTGGTTTGCAAAAAAGTATAAAACATACACATAAAATCAAATTTTAAAAGCAAGCTGATCTGAAAATGTTCAAAAAATAAAAGTTTTAAAAAATCATTATTTTTTTAAAAAATCCGCATTAAAGTAGAATTAAATGCCAAAATTTGCATCAAAATTACATGTCTGGGTAGGTTTGCTTAATGAAAGGAGAATCACTTTTTCCCTCCTAAAAAGTAAGGGGAAATGTGTGTGCGTCTTATGCATTAATGCCTACCCCTGCTCTAGGCAGCCATATGTGTGGGTTGAACATAAAAAGAGATCAGCTGAGCAGAGTTTAAATCCCATCTTTAAGCAGTTTAATTGAAAGCATAAGAATTAGCATGTGAGACCCTTTAATTAAATAAGTTCAACTGCAAAGCAAGCTCCTCCTTTCCAACCCTGCTTAACAAAGAATCAGACAACAGACTGAGAAGTAAGTTTAAAATGTGATTTACTTACTCGTAGTCTTGTATTTATTCACAGCAGCAAAATAAATACAGGCAAAATACTTATATTTACAGTATAAGCAGCTTCAGACGTGCCTGAGCTGGGGCAGTTGGATATACCGTTCCCTCCTAAAAAGTAAGGGGAAATGTGTGTGCGTCTTATGGAGTGAATGCAGGCTGCGCAGCTCTCCCAGAAGCCAGAACAGCAAGAGGGATCACTTCTTTCATTGCACAGCGATCCCTCTTGTTGTTCTGGCTTCTGAGATTCAGATTTTTTCCCCTTGTTTTCCTCCTCCAAGAACCAGGTGCGTCTTATGGTCTGGTGCGTCTTATAGAGCGAAAAATACGGTATGTCTGCTCCTGTCACTGGTTGAAGAGAAAGGGAACCCTTCACATACTAACTGGCAAGAATATGCATTGCTGGATTTGGCTGCTCATTTCCCACAAGAGTAAGGTTTATACCACAGATTTATTGCAATAGCAACCTGCAGTCTTCAAATATCCGAGGGATTCAAACATTTCCAGTTATTGTCATAAAGCAAGGGTGAGAAACACTTTTCAGTGCAAGGACCGCAATCCCTTCTGAGGTCCACATGCCAGTCGTGGGCAACACTAGGGGCAAAAGTGTGCAGAACAATGAATTAAAATTTTACCTTTGCAAAGTGAGATAGTTTCTACATAATCTCATACCTGTCTCTCTCCTCCATGCAGGCCAGCAAGAGTTCTTATTGGAGTTCACTGACATATCCCAGCCAGCCAAAAACACTTGAGGAGGCTCTGGAGCAGAGCTGGTGAAGAGTGTGGCCTGGGGAGAATTGTGAGGGCCAACTAGAGAATGTGGGAGGGCCACAGTCAGCCGCTATGCCACAGGTTCCCCACCTCTGTCATAAAGCTAAGGATTAAAAATATGCATCAAATCAAGCACAGAGAGAGAAGAAACAACTTCTGTTTACAATTACTTCCTCGTGTTCTATTTCTGATTCCTGTGTACCTTTGAGGTTTCTGATTATGTTTATTTCCAGTACTGGTGCCTTGCATCTTTCTTTCTTTCTTTCTTTCTCTTTCTTTCTTTCTTTCTTTCTTTCTTTCTTTCTTTCCTGTTCTATCAGAAATCAAAATATGCTAATAATGGACACTTCAGGATGCTTCACCTTCTACAGCTGATTGCACCAGCAGGGATTAATAGAAGACGAAGGAGGAGGAATCAGAGACAGTAAAATACCTGCCTTGGATGTTGTTGTAATTGGTTACCTCATTAGTCTAAATTTATCTCGCCCCTCAACATTACCTTACTCAAATCATTAGAGCCTAATGAAAAGATAACGTCAATTAGTTAGAACCTCATTATGCCCCATCTATTGGTATCCTGTGAAACAACTTTCAGGCAAAAAACCAAAAAAACACACAAAATACTCATTTTTTTAAAAAAAGATGGGGTTAAAAAATAACTATATGAGAAGTTTTACTTTCCCCCTTTTAATATGGAAGTGGAATAATCTACCTGAGCCTTAACTCTCTGTATAGCTATAATGAAAATGAATTTTTTAAAAAATGGTTCAGCATGTAGTATACATGCCTTATTACAGAATGCTTCAAAAATATAGTTTTAAGATTTCAGAATTGACTCATAATTTTGGCTGCCATTTATCAAAGAAGCTGTGCCTCCAGCTTTCTTTAGTTTTTCTCCAAATCAGTGCACACTGAGGGTAGCTCCTTCTGACTGATGAATGCCATTTTTTTGTTTCAGTGTCTAAGAACATAAGAGGATCAGACTGGATCAGGCCAAAGGCCCATCCAGCCCAGCAAAGAGAGAGAGAGAGAGAGAGAGAGAGAGAGAGAGAGAGAGAGATGTATTTACCATAAAACATGCCTTAGGCTCAGATATGCAGCTGACACAACCTTAATGGCAGAAAGTGAGGAAGAATTAAAGAACCTATTAAGGAGAGTGAAAGAGGAGAGCGCAATATATGGTCTGAAGCTCAACATCAAGATCAGGGCCACTGGTCCCATCACCTCCTGGCAAATAGAAGGGGAAGAAATGGAGGCAGTGAGAGATTTTACTTTCTTGGGTTCCCTGATCACTGCAGATGGTGACAGTAGTCCTGAAATTAAAAGACGCCTGCTTCTTGGGAGAAAAGCAATGACAAACCTAGACAGCATCTTTAAAAGCAGAGACATCACCTTGCCGACAAAGGTCCGTATAGTTAGAGCTATGGTTTTCCCAGTAGTGATGTATGGAAGTGAGAGCTGGACCATAAAGAAGGCTGATCGCCGAAGAATTGATGCTTTTGAATTATGGTGCTGGAGGAGACTCTTGAGAGTCCCATGGACTGCAAGAAGATCAAATGCATCCATTCTGAAGGAAATCAGCCCTGAGTGCTCACTGGAAGGACAGATCATGAAGCTGAGGCTCCAATACTTTCGCCACTTCATGAGAAGACTCCCTGGGAAAGACCCTAATGTTGGGAAAGATTGAGGGCACTTAAATGCGGCAAACTACGCTCCCCAGCCAGCCAAATTGGCTGGCTGCAGGCGTGACATGGGCCGGAATTCCCCCATGACATGGGGGACTCGTCATGCCCCCACTAAGTGCAGGAGAGTGTGAGGCCAGCCTGCAATCCCTCCCTCCTGTGAAGGAAAGTGGCTTTATGGGGCAAGGAAAGATGGAAAGTAGAGGTGGGACAGCTGAAGCCCTCCAGGTGTTGCTTGACTCAACTCCCATTAGCTCCAGCATAGGTATTTTTCAAGGGCAATGGAAATTGTAGTTCAGTTGTAGTTCCCCGGTGTAAAGCATAGTAAGATCAGCCAAGAATCATTGTTACTGCAGAGTATAAGAAAGAGTTAATAAAGTTCAGATACGTTATTATGAGAAGCTGCATGAGTGAGCTACATAACTCATTAATATTCTTCAACCCAAAATAGCTCTCAGTAGGTGATGAATAAATACCTCTTCCTTAATGTGAAGGTATACAGGTGTTGTGATGGTTGATGGTTTATCCTGCTCTTTCCAATGACACACCATGGACTGGTCAATATTAAGAACTGTACAACTTGTAAAGTGCAGAGAATATTGCCACTAGAGCAACTCCTGGCACACATAATAATAATAATAATAATAATAATAATAATACTTTTTATTTCTACCCCGCCCTCCCCAGCAAAGGCTGGGCTCAGGGCGGCTAACAAGCAATAATAAAAACAAGTTGATATTGATTACAACTTAAAAACAAAATTAAAATACAACATTAAAATATTGAAACATTAAAATATTAAAATGCAGCCTCATCACAGGAGGAGAAAGGAAAAGAAAAAAGAAAGAGAGGGAGGAAGGAAATCAAATTGGCTCCAAGCCAAAGGCCAGGCGGAACAACTCTGTCTTACAGGCCCTGCAGAAAGAAATCAGATCCTGCAGGGCCCTGGTCTCATGAGACAGAGCGTTCCACCAAGCCGGAGCCAGAGTTGAAAAGGCCCTGGCTCTGGTTGAAGCCAATCTCACTTCCTTAGGGCCTGGGACCACTAGGGTGTTGCTATTTATGGACCTTGAGGCTCTCCGTGGGGCATACCGGGAGAGGCGGTCCCGTAGGTACGAGGGTCCTAGGGAAAGGTGTGCATCACAGATTTATTGCAGTGGTAATCTTCAGCAGTAAGAATGCCGTATATCTCCATACATCTATGAAGGGGTTCAAGAGCTACATTTTTATACAAACACACACACACAAACAAACAAACAAACAAACAAACAAACGTGTGTGCACATGTACACAGTGCGTCACATAATTACTTTCCAAAGACAAGGTGCAAGGAAGCAGGGGCTGTTGCCAAAAATGGCCCCACTCTACTGCCATTTTCGGCATGCCTTTGACATCTTCACAAAATAAAATTTTGAAGAGCACAGCTGTCACATCACATTCATGTTCTGCTGGAGTTTTAACTTCCTGCTGAAATTTATCATTGCTGGGTTCATTCTGCCTTTATGTTTTATTTTGCAAGGTGCTATGCCTGCCATAGTTGAAGAGAACCAAATAAATGTTTTAAATAAAAAACGCTGGAAATCCTATATTTAAAGACAAACTCCAGTGAATGCAGAGTGAGTTTTACTTCTCAGGAAATCTACCCAAAATGACTCTGTAACTGTGAAGGCATATTAGTTCTCCCCAGAAAAAAGCTACATTAAGTTTTCTCCCAGATAAATGTGATAGTTTGCATCATCATTCACATAATGAACTGTATAATAACGCTAAAACATGCTTTGCCCCATGTTGTTTTGGTACTGATGGTCACTGGTGAAATGATGCCATATATCTCCATACATTGTCACACTTTTCTCTTCATATTGTGGTTCAGTTTATGATCACAAACTGGTTGTGACAGCAAAGGTTTCTTTTTTTATGAAAGGCTTGTAAAACTGATAAAGACTCTCCTCCTGCAAGAGAGGGGAGTGGTTGTGGTCGGGAGCCGGACTCCGCCTCAAGCAGGGGGCGTTAGCCCCCTGCCTCCCACTCACCTGGCTGGGGCCCACGCCCACAGGCAGGCACCCAACCAGGTGCCTGTGAGGGGGCGTGTTTAGCAGCCTAAATTGCTGCAGCACCAGCCTTCCGGCCCCAATTCACAAGGGTACTCCACAAAGCTATTGATGCCTGTGGTTTATCTTCCCAGGATTATGCTGCACACTCATTCAGGATTGGCGCCACCACAACAGCGGCACGCTTGGGTCTGCCGGCGGATAGGATTAAAGAAATGGGCCGGTGGAAATCCGACGCTTATAAAGGTTACATTCGCTAGTATGCACTCCGCTGCAATATCTCTACTTACCCGTCTTTCTCTTTCCTTTATTCTCAGCGGTTCTCAGAAAAAGTGTTTGGATTTGCGGCCACAGTATAGTCCATTGGGCCCGTGTCGGCTAGCTGCGGCCGCACCCCTAATCTTGGGTTGCCACCTGGAGTGCGAGTTTCCTGGTTTTCGAGAGGAGGCATGCGTTGGGAAGAGCTTGTGCCATTGCTGAGGGAGAAAGTCGCCATGTTTGGCCCTCCCGACACCCTTATCCTTCAATTAGGGGGAAATGACCTTGTTAACAGAAGAAGTGTGGACTTGTCGTGGAACATAAAAAGAGATTTGGATGAGATTGCTGCCTTGTGTCCCGGAACAACGGTGTTCTGGTCCTCCTTCCTGAAGAGAATTGTTTGGCGCGGTGCGCAGAACTGTATGGCCATTGAAAAATCCAGGAAACTCTTAAATCGTGCAATAGCCCGTTGGGTGCGCTTTATGAATGGCCGAGTCATTTCTCACGACCGTATCCAGATTGGCGATCAGGCTTTGTACCGGAATGATGGGGTTCATCTTTCAGACCAAGGGAATGACATTTGGTTAAATAGCATCAGCAGCAGCATCAGGGATTGGTTACAGCTGTGAGGGTATTGGCGGCGAGCCTTTTGGGCTCGGGTGGCGGTTAGCCATTGGAATAATGTGTTGTGGTGTGTCGAAGGGCTAGGTGTGGCCATCGCCTGCACCTTCAATTTTGGGTATTCCGTTAAAGGAATCCGGCGGTCATGTATTCTGTCCGATGCCTGCGTGGCGGGAGGCCATGGCACGACCCTCGGTGACATCAGGGGAGAGCTTATAGTTGGATTAGCATCAACAGGCTCCACCTACTGGTGAATAAACCCCCCTGTTTTAGACTCACCCCTCTCTGAGGGGGTGGAGTCAGCTGACGTAATCCAATGCCTAAGCCAATACCTTTTCACTTGCTGTAATCAATAAAGTTGTGGCCTTTTCTTGCCCATTAACCTTATATCACCTGTCCTTGTGTTTTCATTCCACTACGCGGGGATCGGGTCCTCGAACCACAACATGCAATGTCAATGGAAAGGGTTGAAAGCTGAGTGAAATATAGAGATTGCTGCACAAAAATATGAAAGAGACAGGGATATAACTACTGTGTGTAGGGGACACACCATGTTCTGGACCCATTGGTTTGTAACAATTACTGCCCAAATGCCCCCTTTGGGGGGGGAGGTGCTCAAGAGTGTTGTTGTGGAACGGTTGTAGCAGATCTTCCAAGTGTTCCTATTTTCCAGGGATGTCCCTGATTTAGAGAAACCATCCCAGTTTCTGATTTGATCCTGGAATGTCCCACTTTTCCATAAGGTAAAGGTAAAGGGACCCCTGACCATTAGGTCCAGTTGTGGCCGACTCTGGGGTTGCGGCGCTCATCTCGCTTTATTGGCGAAGGGAGCCGGCGTACAGCTTCCAGGTCATGTGACCAGCATGACTAAGCGGCTTCTGGAGAACCAGAGCAACACACGGAAACACCGTTTACCTTCCCGCTGGAACGGTACCTATTTATCTACTTGCACTTTGACGGGCTTTCAAACTGCTAGGTTGGCAGGAGCAGGGACCGAGCAACGGGAGCTCACCCCGTCATGGGGATTCGAACCGCTGACCTTCTGATTGGCAAGTTCTAGGCTCTGTGGTTTAACCCGCAGCGCCACCCGCGTCCCTTACTTTTCCATAGGATGTCCCTATTTTCATGATGGAGGGTATGGAGATATCTGGCCCCTAAGCTGTCTAAAGGCAATCTTGTATAGGGAAGTTTTTTAAATGCTTTATTGTTATTTTTTATATGTTTGGAGCTGCCGAGAGTGTCTGGGTAACCCAATAAGATGTGTGGGGTATAAATAGTATAATTATCATTATGGAATGGGACGTCCCTACAGTGGTATCTTGGTTCTCAAACGCCTTGGTACTCAAACAACTTGGAACCCAAACACTGCAAACCTGGAAGTAAGTGTTCCAGTTTGTGAACTTTTTTCAGAGGCCAAACATGCTCCATTTTGAGTGTTACACTTCCAATTTGAGAGATACACTTCCAATTTGAGTGCCACACTTGCTACACTTCCATTTTGAATGTTATGCTGAGGTCTGTCTATTTTTGCTGTTTATTTTGCATTTTCATGGCTCTTTTTTTCTTTCATTTTTGTGACTGTGTGGAACTCAGTTCGGCTACTGATTGATTGTGCGACTGCAGTACATTGTTTATTGCTTTCAATTTATGGACCAATGGTCTCGTTAGATAGTAAAATTCATGTTAAATTGCTGTTTTAGGGGTTGTTTTTAAAAGTCTGGAATGGATTAATCCATTTTGCATTACTTTCTATGGGAAAGTGCGCCTTGGTTTTTGGTTTTGGAATGGACTTCTGGAATAGATTAAGTTTGAGAACCAAGGTACCACAGTTTTTTCATCAGAGAAATGTTGGAGGGTATTTTGTAGCATTCTTGGATGTATAGACTCAGTCCAGGCCCAACTATAGGTCTGAATTAGCCTAGGATGCCCTAATGGATGAGCTTTAATGACGTTGAAAAGAGGGCATGAAACAGGAAGGAAAGTATCCCTTAAAGGGTTAGCAGTGAAAGAAAGTTATGGAGAGAGGGTCCTGAGAGGTCCCCTCAGGTTAATATAAATGCACCTCACAGTATACCCCAGAACCTGCTGGCTGGTGAATAGAGCATGCAACACCTCAAAGGACTGGCCAAGGGTCTCCTTATCTCCCATGTCTAAGAGAAGCAGCAAGGTTTATTTTGGGCACAGGAAAAGAAGTTGGCCAAGGACACAACTCATGGCTTTTGAGTCCCTCCCTCCAGCATTCCTGTTCCTTGTTGCCGGGGCAGATTCTTGGTTTGAGCTGTTGTCAAGTCTCTCGCTACCTCTTCCTCCTCGGGACCTCTCAATAACAGAGAATTGTGTGTGTGTGTGTGTGTGTGTGAGAGAGAGAGAGAGAGAGAGAGAGAGCGCTTGAGGTTGTATCACAAATGGACAACATGGGAAAGAGTGTCAGTATCCTGCTTGTGTGTACACACACAAGCAAACCTACAGTTGACCTACAAAGTCAAATATGTTTTATGCCCAAGCCAGTTGGCAAACACAAAAGAACCAGAGGAAGTCAGGAAAAGCACCTTTAAAGAATAATATTGCATAGGTTTCGTAGGGATTTTTAAAAGGTATTTTAATGATTATAGGTTCTTGCCATCAATCTTTTACTTTTTACCCCCTCACCCCAAACAACTAATATGCACCATTGATTTTAGTACCTGAGAACAATCACAGGAACAGTATCCTAAATTAGGGCTTTGATGTAACTAAACCACAAAGGAATAGATACTTTGTATCCGGTCCAGGATGACTCATTCATTCACCTTCAGGATCAGTAAAACATTTCCTAGTTTTTTATGACATTACTGTTTTATCAATGACATCCACAGAATACCGTTTTAGCTTAAGAGGCATAAATTCCATGACAGAGCCTAACCTGATGCTGCAGCAGGGAATCATGGGACTGGAAAGGACTGAAGGTCCTCAAGCCTGACTTCACACACCTCCTCAATCCAACACCATCTTGTGTCATCTTGCTGCCTGTCCTGTTGCCGTCCAGCTAGCCACAAGAGGTTGTTTCTGTCAGAGTGTGTCTTTCATTCCCCTTCTTGAGTCTCCTGCCCCTTCCCAAGATTGCTTATTGGTTGTGGGGGGTGGGGGAGCTTTGACCACTCTGGTGTTTCTGCAGGTTCCCTGATTCTTATCCTTTGTGTAATTTTATTCAGTAGCTGTGACTAGGTTACTATGGTTAAGATTAATGGGTAAATTAGTTCCATCCAAGAAACCTCTGATTACCCTCATTTAATTTTCATGATGTTACACAGGAGCACACAGTTGCTTTTACATGCCATGCCCTTTAGCGAACCATAAGTAATTTCACTGGAAATTTGTGTATTCTTTTCTGGTGCAGGCACTTGAAAACTAATAAGTGATTATGAGTAAGGAGGATACAACTGTTGTGCACTTTAGCAAATCTAGCTTGCCATGATCGTCACAGGCTTTTTTGCCCGTGTCATACTCCTACCGCAGGAAAAAAGCCGCAAATGTCACAACTTTGTCAGTGGGGAGGCTGATTGCCTGCTCTGCATTTGGACATAATGGGCAGCAATTAATAGTTTTCCTTATATTCAGTATTTGCATGATGCAATACCATTGATGGCCAAAACCTCAGTGACAAATCTGAAACATTTCCAATAGGTTGCTAAATGCTGAAATGGAGGGCTTTGCAGTGTCTCCTTGAGAAACATTATTAGCATCCCTCACAATTTTACAGATATTTCACCTGAGGAAGTACCTCCAGAATTGCCTTGAGTTTGTTTTGGTCAGGAGAAGCTGTCTGTGTTCCTCCAGAGGTTGCTGGACTACATCTCTAATCACTGACAATGCTAGGGTTGATGTGCACTGGGGTCCATCACCATCTGAATGGCCACAGTTTATCCATCATGGCTTCAGGAGAATTTGGATGCCACTTAGGAATGTTTGGCCCCCTCAGTTCCTGCCCCAAAGAAATTGCACTTGTTTTATCCAAGTGTTGTCCTCTTCCAATTTTGCTTTAGGTGAAATGCCACTGGCAACTTTACTAATACAAATGTTGAGTAAAAGCTAAAGAGACCCCTCACCGTTAGGTCCAGTTGTGGACGACTTTGGGGTTGTGGCGCTCATCTCGCTTTATTGGCCGAGGGAGCCGGCGTACAGCTTCCGGGTCATGTGGCCAGCATGACTAAGCCGTTTCTGGCAAACCAGCTGGAGCAGTACCTATTTATCTACTTGAACTTCATGCTTTCGAACTGCTAGGTTGGCAGGAGCAGGGACCGAGCAATGGGAGCTCACCCCGTCGTGGGGATTCGAACCGCCGACCTTCTGATCGGCAAGCCCTAGGCTCTGTGGTTTAACCCACAGCACCACCCGCATCCTGCAAATGTTGAGTACTGCAACCCAATTATTTTCAGGTAAGCTCTATAGCTCACCCACCAACCCCCAGTTTGGATGAGGAGCACACTCAAGTCTGGTGCTTAATGTCCAGGGACTGCACATCTCATTTAAACCTAAGGTCCCTGGAGAGAAAGGAATGGAAGAGTAGGATTGAATAGAAAAGAAAGCAGCATGCCAGTTTGGGAGATATAAGTAGCAGGAATGGAGATGGTCCGGAGAAACTAATAATTACACTATTTCTCCTATTATTAGTATATTGCAGATGGTTGTTGTAAATGCAAAGTAAGGGTGGCAAAAGTTCATATCCACTCCTGGTAATGTCTCCTGGGAGAGAAATGGGTTTGCAAAAGTGTCACTTGATCTGGGAGAGAGACACCAACCGGCTAAAGGCTAGCAAGAAGTGAAATAGCTTTCTGGTTCAGACCTTTAAAAAACCAGGTGATGCTGATGATGATCAATGGCTGAGAACAATGCGAAATAGCAGCCGGTCTGGCCCTTAAATGGGGGATTAGTGAACAACAATAATGAGTGTGATGTGAAATACCAAAGCACAATACACAGCCATGTATTTTCTTTTAATTGGGGGAAACTGACAAGCAATAGCCTGGCACAATGCCCAGTTCTGTCTTCTAAATGGGGACCTGATGAGAAGTACCTAGGCAAGATGCAAAATAGCTAGCTGGGTTTTTGTCTGTGATGAAAACAGAAAACTAAGGAGCAACTTCCTGGCACAATTTAAAATAACTGACTAATGCTTTGAATGGGGAAATCCACATAAAAGTGTATTACAACATCCACCAGTTCAAAATAAAACCCTTTCCTAAAAAGAAATAGTCTCGCAGGGGTGGTCTTTTGTTATTTTAAAACTTCTTCTTCAAGATGCAAAGGTAATATGCCATCCTCTGTTGCCTTTCGCCATTTCTCTTGGGGTTACTCCTTTGCCTCTGAAAGGAACAGGAGGGTTGAAAATGGTGTTTTATCTTGGTATGTACTTGCAGCAATAGGACTCAAGGACTTCTCTTGCAGAGCTTTTATCCTATGAATTCCATTTGCATTCCTCTTCTTACCAATTGGTGATTTGTTTTTGTAACTGGAATGGTAGAATTTCCTTCCCTGCCAAACCTGGCTCTCTTCCCCGGAGAAATGCTGGCTGATTGTATCTTTTCCTTTTGTACTGCTCCTAACTTTGCGTGAGTTCCTGGGGGGCCTGAGCTCTGGCTGAGAGGAATCCTAGAAAGGTTGCTGCTATAGCTGTTAATTGCTATTTTTGCTATCTGATGAACAGTTCTGGCCTCTGACACGGGAGGTGCTGTCAGCTCTTCCTGCCAGTGCTGTATGTGCGCACACTGCATAGTGTGACACAATTGTGGCCTCCATGCAATCATGGATAGGTATATTCCGTGCATAGCTAATTTAGACTGCTGCCTTCATTAAGGGGGCACCATCAGTGTCATAATAGGTAGGTGGCAGTGGAGTTGCTAGGACTACCATGGAAGTGTCTCTTGGTGTTGCTGCATTGTCTCCTGTTTATATAGAGTGTGTCCTCTCTAAAAGAGGGCATGTGTTGTGGTGAGACCTGGAGACTGACCTCTTGGTTGTGGGTGGGTATAATGGACAGCCACAACACCCAGTTGGTAGGTCCCTCATTGCTGGGTTTAATTTGGCCAATGGGGTGATGTCTCAACAGATCGAGGGACCTATAAATACCTATGCACGTGACCCAGAGCTTCTTCTTTCAGCTTGTGCATTCGGAACACCCGCCCACCTCTCCCTAATTTTAGGGCTTGCACTTGACCTTGCTATGCCATCATGTGTCATCTGTTGCTGGGACAGGGGCACGGCAGGAATTTTCCCCACTTCGCTGATTGGCTGTTGCCATTTGGGTTTCGCCTGATGTGTAGGAAATCGTCACAACCTGTAAGGTTGTGGATAGGCACTGGTTCAGGTGATAGGGATGGGAGAACGCTCTCGCCATCCCTATGTGAAGGGTATTCTGTTTTATGGGTTGACAATTGGGGGTGCTTCCAAACAGGGACGCGGGTGGCGCTGTGGGTAAAACCTCAGTGCCTAGGGCTTGCCGATTGCATGGTTGGTGGTTCGAATCCCCGCGGCGGGGTGAGCTCCCGTCTTTCGGTCCCAGCTCCTGCCCACCTAGCAGTTCAAAAGCACCCTTAAGTGCAAGTAGATAAATAGGTACCGCTTTATAGCGGGAAGGTAAACGGCGTTTCCGTGTGCTGCGCTGGTGCTGGCTCGCCAGAGCAGCTTCGTCACACTGGCCACGTGACCCGGAAGTGTCTCCGGACAGCGCTGGCCCCCGGCCTCTTAAGTGAGATGGGCGCACAACCCTAGAGTCGGACACGACTGGCCCATACGGGCAGGGGTACCTTTACCTTTACCTTTTACCAAACTGTCATTGTTTTTCAATGGGATTTAATCATGTACCAGAGTGGCTCAGAGCTAAGTAGAGTCATAGATCTAAAAAAAGAGTGTAGACCAGGGGTAGGCAACCTAAGGCCCGGGGGCCGGATGTGGCCCAATCGCCTTCTTAATCTGGCCTGCGGACGGTCCAGGAATCTGCGTGTTTTTACATGAGTAGAATGTGTTCTTTTATTTAAAATGCATCTCTGGGTTATTTGTGGCGCCTGCCTGGTGTTTTTACATGAGTAGAATGTGTGCTTTTTTTATAATGCATCTCTGGGTTATTTGTGGGGCATAGGAATCTGTTCATTATTTTTTTCAAAATATAGTCCTGCCCACCACATGGTCTGAGGGACGGTGGAGCGGCCCACGGCTGAAAAAGGTTGCTGACTCCTGGTGTAGATTCATGCATGCTGGCCAGCTTTCGTTTTGACTTGAAATGTTTATTTTGGGTTTCTCAGAAGTACATAGAGGCAAGAAGTTGCGGGGGGGGGGGGGACAATGGCACTCACCTGAGAGGTCCTCTGGCGTGCTCTAGCTGAAAGGAAAAAAAGCACTGCCTAACCTCCTTGCAAACTTTTTGCAAATTAGGATGAATGCTTCATAAACAGGTCATCAAGGAGCTATTTTTGTTGATGTTAGTTCTTGTGGTAAAAGCTGCCAGTGTAGCAAGATCATAGAGTCAGCCTGCCAGTAGACAGAGGTGATCAGAAGTGCTGCTATCCTCTTAAAAGGAAATTATCTGCAAGCAACAGAAACATTAACTATTGAGAATCAATATGTCCTTGTACCCTTTTGTGCATTGTAACTCAGCCACCGCAGAGCTGCAGTGACAATTGATGCTTCCTTTAGAAACCACCATGATTTTATTAGCAACTAAGGGACACGGGTGGCGCTGTGGGTAAAACCTCAGCGCCTAGGACTTGCTGATCGTATGGTCGGCGGTTCGAATCCCTGCAGCGGGGTGAGCTCCCGTCGTTCGGTCCCAGCTCCTGCCCACCTAGCAGTTCGAAAGCACTCTTAAGTGCAAGTAGATAAATAGGTACCACTTTATAGCGGGAAGGTAAACGGCGTTTCCGTGTGGTACGCTGGTGCAGGCTCGCCAGAGCAGCTTCGTCACGCTGGCCACGTCACCCGGAAGTGTCACCGGACAGCGCTGGCCCCCGGCCTCTTAAGCGAGATGGGCGCGCAACCCCAGAGTCGGTCACGACTGGCCCGTACGGGCAGGGGTACCTTTATCTTTACCTTTAAGGGACACGGGTGGCGCTGTGGGTTAAACCACAGAGCCTAGGACTTGCCGATCAGAAGGTCGGCGGTTCGAATTGCTGTGACGGGGTGAGCTCCCATTGATCGGTCCCTGCTCCTGCCAACCTAGCAGTTCAAAAGCATGTCAAATTGCAAGTAGATAAATAGGTACCGCTCTGGCGGGAAGGTAAACCGTGTTTCTGTGTGCTGCTCTGGTTCACCAGAAGCGGCTTAGTCATGCTGGCCACATGACACGGAAGCTGTACGCCGGCTCTCTCGGCCAATAAAGCGAGATGAGCGCCACAACCCCAGAGTCGGACACAACTGGACCTAATGGCCAGGGGTCCCTTAACCTTAACCTTAAAATGGTGGCAGGGCTGGATGTCAGGGATATTCATCAGCCTCCAGTGAAATGGAACCAGGGAGCCCTCAGACAAGCTGAGCCCACTGCCCCAATCCAATGCAATCAGAGCAACAACTTGCCACTCATCTGTGGATGATGCCCACTGTTCCTTTGGACCTTCCATGTAGCACCATATATATGCATCCAGTATCTACTGCTCCATTTTCAGAAGATAGCCCTAGCATCTCCCTGCTTTTATTTCTCCAGAAAGTTCCCTTTCAGTAGACACATTTGTCTTTTGTTTCCTAGAAGCTATAATGCTTTTGAATCTCAGGACTAAATGTGCCTTTGAGATCCTTCTTGGGAACAACCATTCTGCCTGACTGCACTCCATCACCCGGGCACTCACGCTTTCCGGTGGTCATCCTATCACAGCCTGAGAATGCCTGGCCTCTGTTGCTGCTTCAGATTTAATTTGACACTGGAGATTCCCTCTTCCCTTCTTTGTTCATTTCTGCTAATTAAGCATCTATAACCTTTAACCTTTGTGTAGCTGGCTCTCATTGGGATTGCATAAACAGACAGGGACACAGCTTCAGAGTGCTGCTGTATTGACTGCTTTCCATGGAAACTCAGCCATCAGCAATAGCCAGGAGTGCTTTTTACCAGCACTGGCTGGTTAGTCAGCTGCAGCTTTCGCTAGAGAAAGTGGACCTTGCTGCTGTAGCACATGCCTCCAGGCAAGATTACTGTAATGTGCTCTGTGTGGGGCTGATCTTAAAGATGGTCCAGAAACTTCAACTGGTGCAGAACGCAGCAGCAGCAGCAGGAGGAGGAACGCTAATAGGATATTACAGACACAAATTAAAACACCAAGATTTGCTCTTGGTTTACAACTTGTGGTTTGTCTGGAAGACAACTCCCTTCAAATGACAAAGAGTGTGTGTGCAAAATCAATTGCAGGCAAATGTTTTTGCATGCTTTATAGCAGAAATATTAGATGGCAAGTTGGAAATTATGCATGGAATATAGCTGCCATTAAGGTCAAATGAGCCACAAAAGAGACGGCATTTACCTATTCCGTTCCTGCTACAGTAGGCGGTAAGATGACCAAGAAAGCTAGGCAGCATTTTATATATTTCATAACATTTTCTATAGTGGCAAGAACACTTTATGTGCCCTAAAGAAGGAAAATGAATTCTTTTTTTTAATATATAAAATATTTATTAAAGTTTAGACATTACAAAAAAGAAAAAAAAAACAAAAGAAAAAAATATAAACAATAAACAATTACAAAGCCTCAAAAGCAAATACAGCAGTACAAAACATCAACAATACAAAAAAAGAAAGAAAACAAAACAAAAACATTTAAAAAAAAACCCAAAAGAGAACAAACAAACATACAAAAGAACCCCATATTTTCATATCCTTATCTTTCATTTGCTTATTTCCTCGACTTCCTCACACCTCCTTTTTTGTATTCTAGTTCAATTAAATATTCCAGCAAGTCCTTTCCCTCTTTCACAAATTTAGTTCCATAATTTAACTTAACGCAATTTTAGACTTAAATTTACATCTTTACCCAATGTCAATCTATTCATACTTGATTCTTTATAATATTTCTACTAAAGTCATATAACTTCTTTCCAGCATCTTTCTAACATTCATTAATTTTAGAATATTTCTGTAAATAAGCTTTGAATTTTTTCCAATCTTCTTCCATTGACTCTTCTCCCTGGTCTCGGATTCTGCCAGTCATTTCCGCCAATTCCATGTAATCCATCAGCTTCATCTGCCATTCTTCCCTGGTAGGTAGGTCTTGTGTCTTCCAGTGCTTTGCGATGAGTATTCTTGCTGCTGTTGTAGCATACATGAAAAAAACTCTGTCCTTCTTTGGCACCAATTGGCCCACCATGCCCAGGAGAAAGGCCTCTGGTTTCTTTACAAAGGTATATTTAAATACCTTTTTCATTTCATTATAGATCATCTCCCAGAATGCCTTAATCTTTGGGCATGTCCACCAAAGGTGAAAGAAAGTACCTTCAGTTTCATTGCATTTCCAACATTTATTATCGGGCAAATGATAAATTTTTGCAAGCTTGACTGGTGTTATGTACCACCTGTAAATCATTTTCATTAAATTCTCTTTTAAGGCATTACATGCCGTAAACTTCATACCAGTGGTCCATAACTGTTCCCAGTCAGCCATCATAATATTATGTCCAACATCCTGTGCCCATTTAATCATAGCAGATTTCACCATTTCATCCTGAGTATTCCATTTCAACAGGAAGTTATACATTCTTGACAAATTCTTAACTTTAGGGTCTAACAATTCTATTTCCAGCTTTGATTTTTCCACCTGAAAACCTAGTTTTTTATCCTGATTATATGCCTCCATTATTTGATAATAATGGAGCCAATCTCGCACTTTGTTTTTTAATTTTTCAAAGCTCTGTAATTTTAATCTATCACCCTCTTGTTCCAAAATTTCCCAATACTTCGGCCATTTGGCCTCCATATTGAGTTTTTTCCGGGCCTTTGCCTCCATAGGTGACAGCCATCTTGGGGTTTTATTTTCTAACAAGTCCTTATATCTTATCCAGACATTAAACAGTGCTTTTCTTACAATATGGTTTTTGAATGCTTTGTGTGCTTTGACCTTATCATACCACAAATATGCATGCCAACCAAATACATTATTGAAACCTTCCAAATCCAAAACATCCGTATTTTCAAGAAGCATCCATTCTCTCAGCCAGCAAAAAGCGGCTGATTCATAATAAAGTTTTAAGTCTGGCAGGGCAAATCCACCTCTTTCTTTAGCATCAGTTAAAATCTTAAATTTTATATGAGGCTTCTTGCCCTGCCAGACAAATCTGGAAATATCTCTCTGCCACTTCTTGAAACAATCCATTTTGTCTAAAATTTGCAGTGATTGAAACAAAAATAACATTCTTGGCAATACATTCATTTTTATCACAGCAATTCGGCCTAGCAACGATAGCTTCAATTTTGACCATATTTCTAAGTCTTTTTTCACTTCAGTCCAACATTTTTCATAGTTATCCTTAAATAAATTCACATTTTTAGCAGTCATATTGACCCCTAAATATTTCACTTTCTTAACCAGTGTCAGACCTGTCTCCCTCTGAAACTTCTCTCTCTCAATCACATTCAGATTTTTCTCCAGAACTTTAGTTTTCTTTTTTTTATATATATAATTTTTTAATTGATTTTATAGACAAGTTTTATACAATACAAACAAATAAAAAGACATACAAACATGTATAGTTTCATAACCTTTTTTTTCATAACCCTCTCTTCTCGGACTTCCCCAAACCTCCCCTTCCTACATCCCAATTTCCAAAATTATTTCAGCAAATTCTAAATAATTTTATCAAATATATTTTTCTTATTTTTTTTTTCTTCAACTTAATCTTATGTCGCTGTAATCTCCTTTTCTTTCTCCAAACCTCGACATTTTAACATTCCTCAATTTTATGATAGTTCTTTAGATAGATTTTAAATTTCTTCCAATCTTCTTCCACCGTCTCTTTCCCCTGCTCACGGATTCTGCCGGTCATCTCCGCCAATGTCATATAGTCTATAACCTTCATCTGCCACTCTTCCAAGGTGGGTAGTTCTTCTGTCTTCCAATACTTTGCGATGAGTATTCTTGCTGCTGTCGTAGCATACATAAAAAAAGTTCTGTCTTTCTTTGATACCAATTGGCCGGCAATGCCCAAGAGAAAGGCCTCTGGTTTCTTCAAGAAAGTACATTTAAGTACCTTTTTTAATTCATTATATATCATTTCCCAGAAAGCCTTAATCTTTGGGCACGTCCACCAAAGGTGATAAAAAGTACCTTCAGTTTCTTTACACTTCCAACACTTATTATCAGGCAAATGATAAATTTTTGCTAGCTTGACTGGAGTCATGTACCACCTATAGATCATTTTCATAATATTTTCCTTTATGGCATTACATGCCGTAAATTTTATACCGGTGTTCCACAACCATTCCCAGTCAGCAAACATAATGTTATGACCAATGTCCTGTGCCCACTTAATCATAGCTGATTTAACTGTTTCATCTTGTGTATTCCATTTCAGCAGCAAATTATACATTCTTGACAAGTTCTTAGTATTGGGTTCTAACAGTTCAGTTTCTAATTTTGATTTCTCCACCTGGAAGCCAATTTTCCTGTCTTGTTTATACACCTCCATTATTTGATAATAATGGAGCCAATCTCGTACTTTGGGTTTCAATTTCTCATAGCTCTGTAGCTTCAACTTATCTCCATCTTGTTCCAAAATTTCCCGATACTTTAGCCATTCGGCTTCCATATTAAGCTTTTTCAACGCCGTGGCTTCCAAAGGTGACAACCATCTAGGGGTCTTACTTTCCACCAAATCTTTATATCTTATCCAAACGTTATATAATGCTTTCCTGACAATATGATTTTTAAAGGCCTTATGCACCTTGATTTTATCATACCATAAATATGCATGCCAACCAAATGTATTGTTAAAACCTTCTAAGTCCAAGATGTCTGTATTCTCGAGGAGCATCCATTCTTTCAGCCAGCAAAAAGTTGCTGCTTCATAATACAGTTTTAAGTCCGGCAGGGCAAACCCCCTCTTTCTTTTGCATCCGTCAGTATTTTAAATTTTATTCTGGGCTTTTGCCCTGCCAGACAAATTTCGAAATATCCTTCTGCCACCTCTTGAAACAGTCTATCTTGTCTAGAATTTGTAGTGTTTGAAACAAGAATAACATTCTAGGCAATACATTCATCTTAATAACTGCAATTCGGCCTAACATTGACAATTTCAAATTTGACCATATTTCTAGATCTTTTTAATTTCCGACCAACATTTTTCATAATTGTCTTTATACAGGTTCAAATTTTTAGATGTCAAATAAACCCCTAGGTATTTCACCTTCTTTACCACTGTCAAACCTGTTTCATTCTGAAACTTCTCCCTCTCCATGACTGTTAAATTTTTTCCAAAACTTTAGTCTTTTGTTTATTCAATTTAAATCCAGCTACCTGGCCAAATTCTTGGATTAGCTCCAACACCCTTTTTGTACTAGTGTCTGGCTCTTGTAAAGTAAGTACTAAATCATCTGCAAAGGCCCTTAACTTGTAATGTTTAGCTCCGACCTGTACACCTTTAACCTGCTGGTCATCTCTAATCATATTTAGCAACACCTCCAGAACAGAAATAAAAAGTAATGGGGAAATAGGGCACCCCTGTCGTGTCCCTTTTTCTATTTTAAATTCTTCAGTTATCACATTATTTACAATCAATTTAGCTTTTTGTTCAGTGTATATGGCACCCATACCATTCTCGAATCCTTGGCCTACCCCCATCCCATGAAGATTCTTTTCATAAAACTCCAAGAAATATTGTCAAAGGCTTTCTCCGCATCTACAAAGATCAGAACTGCTTTAGTGTTTATATTCACCTCTAATAATTCCAAAATGTCTATTATGTTCCTCACATTGTCTGATAAATGCCTTTTTGGGAGAAAGCCTGCTTGGTCCTTATGAATCTTCTCCATCAACACTCTTTTCAATCTTTTTGCCAAAATGTCTGCAAAAATTTTGTAATCCACATTAAGTAATGATATTGGGCGGTAGTTCTTAAGTTGATTCTTTTCAATCTCTGTCTTTGGTATGAGTGTAATGTACGCTTCTTTCCACGATTCTGGTGCCCTTTTCCCCTCTAAGATCTCATTACAGACTTCCTTTAATGGTTGTACCAACCACTCCTTCAAAGCCTTATAATATCTGGAAGTCAGTCCATCTGGTCCTGGAGATTTGCCCAGTTGCATGTTTTGAATGGCACCCTCTATCTCTTGATCTGTTATTCTCTGATTTAGATCCACCTTACTTTGGTGAGAGATTTTTTGTAGTCCATACTTTTTAAGAAATTCTTCTATATCCTCCTCCTTCTGTGGTCCTTGTGAATATAGTTTTTTAAAATAACTCAAAAAACAATTTCTTATCTCGTTAGGTTTAGATATATTCTTTCCATCCACTTCTAGGCTTGTAACTGTATTTAGTTTCTGCCTTTTCTTCAATTGCCAAGCCAGAAGTTTACCACATTTATCTGCAGATTCAAATGTCTTTTGTCTCATTTGTTTTATCTTCCATTCAATCTCTTGATTCATCAATTCCATATATTGTGTCTGATATAACTTAATCTCTCTCAAAATCTCCTGGGACTTTGGTTTTGATCTCAATTTCTTCTCTCCTTCTTTTATCTTTTCCAAGATCTTGTCCTTCTTCTCATTTTGCTTTCTCTTTTTTACAGAATTTTGTTGAATTAGAAATCCTCGCATCACTGCTTTACTTGCGTCCCAGATCACTCTTTTTTCTACATCAGTTTTTAGATTTATTTCAAAATAGTCCTTTAAAGTTTTTTGGGCCTTTCTATGGATCTCCTCATCTCGAAACAGGGTGTCATTCATCCTCCATCTGAATTGACCAGTTGTTGTAAGTTTCATTTCCATCCTCACGGCGTTATGGTCGGAGCAGGTCTTTGGGCAGATTTCCACTTTTTTAATCTTTGGAGCCAACCCACTAGTAATCCAAATTTGATCGATTCTGGTCCAGGTCATCATTGCTTCAGAGAAAAAGGTTCCCTCTCTCTCGAGAGGATTCCTTGTTCTCCAAATATCAATCAAGTCCATATTTTCAGTTATTTAGTTTTCATCTTATTCAACTTAAAACCTGCTACCTGACCAAATTCTTGAATCAATTCTAATACTCTTTTCGTACTTGATTCTGGCTCCTGTAAAGTCAATACTAAATCATCTGCAAATGCTTTCAGTTTGTACTGTTTGGCTCCCACTTGTATACCTTTAACCAATTGGTCCCTTCTTATCATATTTAACAGAACCTCCAGGACCGAAATAAAAAGCAATGGAGAGATTGGGCAACCCTGTCGTGTTCCTTTCTCAATCTTAAATTCTTCCGTCACTACATTATTCACAATTAATTTGGCCTTTTGTTCTGAATAAATTGCACCTATACCATTTCCAAAACTTTTACCAACCCCCATCCCCAATAAATTCTTCTTCATAAAGCTCCAAGAAATATTTTCAAAGGCTTTCTCCGCATCCACAAAAATCAAAACTGCTTTAGTATTAATCTTCACTTGTAACTTTTCTAAAATATTAATTATATTCCTCGTATTATCAGACAAATGTCTGCCCGGGAGAAAGCCCGCTTGGTCTCTATGGATTTCTTCTGCTAGCACCTTTTTTAATCTTTTAGCCAAGATATCTGCAAAAATTTTATAATCCACATTAAGCAGTGATATGGGACGGTAGTTTTTGAGTTGCGTCTTTTCGGACTCTGATTTTGGTATAAGTGTAATGTATGCTTCTTTCCACGACTCAGGTGCCCTTTTCTGAGAAGGAAAATGAATTCTAATGCGCATCAGGACATTTGGTGTTTGAGCTTTCTTAACATAAAATCAGATTTGGCAACTTCGCACGCAGCTGTTGCAAACAAGCTCACCCAATCATCTGTACTAGTATGTTCCATTCATTCCTAAGAGAAGATAGCAGCAACAGACATGAAACATTTTGGAGATTCAGTATTAACAAACTGTAATTTGCTTTGCCAACTCAAGCCATTTTTATTTTTCCTGTACTGCTGGGTAGAAGCTGCTGTCTCCTTCCATGGCCAAGGTAAACATTATTTTTTAAATTTACAGAGAAATGTAGTGAAGCAGAAGGAACAATTGTCTTCCCTTTCTTTTTATGTTTCTGTACTAAAATAACTTTTTATGATAAAGTAGAAAAATACAAACATATAGGATGTGGTCATACAATACATGCCACAATAGCCAAGGATTAAAGTTAGCTAAAATATTAATAAGACTGAATGTCTGGTCACCTTCCACGGTGGGCAGTGTTGTGACCAGGTCTCAGGCCACACCAAGTGAGCCAACAAATGCCAGGTTGGATCGTCCACCTACCAGCTATTTGGCCAATACCGGCAGGCTTTGGCCAGGTGTTCCCCTGATGGTGGGCCCAACCAACCAGCAGGGACGCTTGGGTCTGCTTCCAGGGGTAGTTAAATTGTAGCCTGCCCAGCGCTCCTTCCTCAGCCTTTTGGCTATAAAGGACACATAAAGATTTCAAAGGAAAGAGAAAGCAAGGAAGAAACCCCTTCCCTTTTGCAGAGGACAGTTCTCAGATGTCAACACTCCCACAGTCTGTAGACACACATAATTTCCCAATGGAGAAGAGAAAACTTTCAGAACTGGATTATTGAATGTTACTTTATTTGATATGGAGTTGTTCCATTTTGAACGTATGTTTTATGATGACTTTTTGTATTGAATAATAATAATAATAATAATAATAATAATAATAATAATAATTGTGCAGCACGTGTCCTGGGGCGGCTGCGATGGTACCCCCCTCCCCAATGGTGCTGGGGGCGGTACGCTCCCCCGCCCCCCGTTCCTCCGCCAGTGCCAGCTCTTGATGGGGTTACCCTCCCTATGTCATGGGGTGTTAGGGGAGGGGTAATACCTCCACTGAGCCTCTTGGGCTTGCCGATCAACAGGTTGGCGGTTCGAATCCATGTGACGGGGTGAGCTCCCATTGCTCGGTCCCTGCTCCTGCCCACCTAGCAGTTCGAAAGCACGTCAAAGTGCAAGTAGATAAATAGGTACCGCTCCAGCAGGAAGGTAAACGGTGTTTCCATGTGCTGCTCTGGTGTCGGTGTTCCATTGCGCCAGAAGTGGCTTAGTCATGCTGGCCACATGATCCGGAAAAACTGTATGCGGAGCGGTCAAACACCGGCTACCTTGGCCTGTAAAGCGAGATGAGCGCCACAACCCCAGAGTCGTTCACGATGGGACTTAACTGTCAGGGGTTCCTTTACTTTTAATACCTCTGGGGGTGACACATTGTTCTCTGCCAGTGGTGTGTGAGATAGGTATTTGTTTTCCCTGCTCTCCCCCTCGCCCCAGTCTGCACTGAACTTGCAAGCCTTGCTTAGGGATGAGGCTGTGCAGCTTTTAATGTTCTGCAAGGCTGGCAGATAATGTGGAGACAAAGAAAGGAGATGCATAACTACATCTAAATCTTCTAATCAGTAGCTGTCATGCTTACAGGGTGGGCCATTTGACCATCATTATTTAATAACTCCACACTTCCCTAAAGATTGGTAAGAAATCAGGTATATACTCTCCAATGTTTACAGCTGCCTCTTAGCTGATATCAGCTTCCTGTTTCCTCCACAGCTGATCCTTCCTGTTTCCTCTCTAGCAGCTTTGTGACAGCTGATGTCTCACGAGACTGGGCAACATGCCTCCATTGCCTGGCAACTGGCATTTCTCTGATATCCCTCACAATTGGCAGCCCTGTGCTTCCATTGTCTTGATGACAAGCCAATTGGCTCCTGCTGCCCTGGCTCTCTTTGCTTCCCTCCCATCAGCTCAACTGCAAGGCCATCCCCTACTATACATCAGGCAGACCTCCCAGGCTCTGACAGTCATCTTTCCAGCTGTTGCTGGAGCAAAAGAAGATCTTTCTTGATGAGTCAAATGTGGCCGCTTCAAAAGAACACCTAGTTTTAGAGCCTCAGTTAAGAGTACATTTCCATATGCATTTATTTTGTATCATTGTAGCCACTGTGATCCACGTGACGGTCACCTCCAGACTGGATTGTTGTAACTCACTCTACGTGGGGCTGCCCTTGAGACTGACCCAGAAACTCCAGCGGGTGCAGAATGCCGCAGCGAGACTCCTTACGAGGTCTTCGCTGTGAGATCACATTCATCCGGTGCTATACCAGCTGCAGTGGCTCCCGGTGGAGTACAGGATCAGGTTTAAGGTGCTGGTTTAAACCTTTAAAGCCCTATACGGCTTAGGACCCTCGTACCTACGGGACCGCCTCTCCTGGTATGTCCCACAGAGGACCTTACAGTCTTCAAACAAAAACATCCTGGAGGTCCTGGGCCACAGGGAGGTTAGGCTGGCCTCAACCAGAGCCAGGGCTTTTTCGGCTGTGGCCCCAATCTGGTGGAACTCTCTGTCACAAGAGACTAGGGCCCTGCAGGATTTGACATCTTTCTGCAGGTCCTGCAAGACAGAGCTGTTCCACCAGGCCAAGACACAGCCTGACCCCCTCCTTTGGTAATCTTCACAGAACTCTAGCCCAATGGTTGCCATTAATTTGATTTGAACTGATTTTATAATGAATTGATTTTAGAATGCTGTATTATTTTATTGTTGTTAGTTGCTCTGAGCCCAGCTCTGGCTGGGGAGAGTGGGATATAAATAAAAAATTATTATTATTATTATTATTATTATTATTATTATTATTAGTGATTGGTACATGCCATAAAATAGGCTCAGGTTGGATTAAACCAAGCTATCCCCCCCCCATCAGAAAATAGCTGGGCTTCATCCAGGCCAATCTACTTGATACCCCATTGTACTGACTGGGAAGTGAGAGGATCTAGAATTGAGCCAACTTAGGGAGGGACTAACCACTCCATTTGTGAGATTTGGGTTTTCAGTGCCTAATCTCCCAACCAAGAGCAGGAGGTATTAGACTTGTTGGCTGCAAGGAGTATCTCACAAGATTGAATCCCAACTCCTCTCCCACAAGCACCTTCCAATCAGGCAGCCCATTCCCAAGCCCCATTGCCACAGCACCCAGGCCTTCCTCCAGCGGTGGCAAAGTCTCCATGGAAGACTCCGGGTCAAGCCATGGCTATTTGTTGGCTATGGCTCCTCACTCACTTCTCCTTGACTGTGGATGGTGGTTGGCCTGGGTGGTTGCTGTGGCAATAGGACCTTGGAAACCAGCCACAAAATGGCCTTGGGGAGGAGGAATTGGGAGTAAATCCTGCAGAGCACTCCACAGGTTTGAATCCTCTGCTCAGCTAATGAGTGAAGGGTTTGATACTCCCTTTTGAGAAAACCTCTGCATTCTTCCATTTGGCATCCTCCCCCTGACAGCCACAGATCATTGTGGGCTACTTGACCTGGGGTGATCCAGGGTTGTCACCACCCAACTTGGCCAAAGCCCCTCAGGCTTTAGCTGAACATAGAGCACAGCCGTAATGGGATCTGATTCAAATGCCTCTCTCACCTCTACAAGTCCCTTCCCCAATTACCTTCAAACAATAATCCAGCCTCCCACTTTTCTGGCTGAGACTCTGAGAAGTGACAGAAAGGAGGAAAGTCTCTCTCTGTCTTCTGGTGTGCTCTGTAATAAAGCACTAAATGCAACTGGCCTTGAAAAGGTAGTGTTCCCAATGACTACTATGGATGTCAAGGGAGAAAGACTGTAGAGAGCCAGTGTGGTGTAGTGGTTAAGAGCGGTAGACTCGTAATCTGAGGAACCGGGTTCGCGTCTCCGCTCCTCCACATGCAGCTGCTGGGTGACCTTGGGCCAGTCACACTTCTCTGAAGTCTCTCAGCCCCACTCACCTCACAGAGTGTTTGTTGCGGGGGAGGAAGGGAAAGGAGAATGTTAGCCGCTTTGAGACTCCTGAAGGGGAGTGATAAAGCGGGATATCAAATCCAAACTCTTCTTCTTCTTCTTCTAGGGTATTGTTGGTTGGTAACTGAAAGTAAAGATGAGGGAGATACTCAGTTCACATTTAAAGGCACACTTTCGGAAACCCAAGCATTATTCAAAGTTTAGACTTATCCGAGTTTTGCATTGCAGTTCTCCTGATAAGAAACATGTAAAAAAAAATGCATATATTGGGTAAAGTGTTCCTACAAATATCAGTGAAAATGCCATACAAAACTGTATTGTATCAGGACAATTGCTTTGCCAAAATGTGTATATAAGGAAAATTACATACAAAAATATTAGGAGAAATTCACACTAAATGCTGATGAATATTTATGAGGGAGGGTGAGAAAAGTGTGGGATTTTATTCAGCTCAGATATAAATTTTAAGGCAGAGAAGAACTCAAGGCCATTTAAGTTCAAGAGCCCTTTTCAGCTTGAAGTCAGTGGAAGTCTGTGAGATTTCATTAGAGGTTCACATAGGTTATGTTTACGTTTGATGTGTGGCAATAGCCATGATACCACCTATCTATCTATATTTACACACACACACACACACACACACACACACACGTGTGTGTGTTGCTTTTGGGGGGGGGGTTGTTTTGTTTTTTTCCGTGCTACCAAAAGTGTGGCTGCAGTGAAATTGCTGCTGCCATTTTCTTTCCCTGCAAATGTCCTGGATATAGAAGAAGAAGAAGAGTTTGGATTTGATATCCCCCTTTATCACTACCTGAAGGAGTCTCAAAGTGGCTAACAATCTCCTTTCCCTTCCTCCCCGACAACAAACACTCTGTGAGGTGAGTGGGGCTGAGAGACTTCAGAGAAGTGTGACTAGCCCAAGGTCACCCAGCAGCTGCATGTGGAGGAGCGGGGAATCGAACCTGGTTCAGATTACGAGTCCACTGCTCTTAACCACTTGTTCTGGGGAGAAATATGGCAACCGCCACAAATAATGTTGGCTGCCAGATAGAAACAGTCCCTGCGGGATTACCACCAATAGGAGTTAGGAAGCAGCAGTTTCTACTTTTTCTCCTCCTGTTAGTAGTAGCAATATCCCTTTCTTGAGGTCAAGGTGAAGTGTTCCTTCTCATTTTAAAATAAACAAATTCACGTGTCACTTGATGCCAGACTTTTAAAAACATACTCTGGCAGGGCAAATCAAGGGAGGTCTCAACTGCTAGCTATTTTCAATAGCTCCTGAAGGAATATGCCCTTTGGCCCATCAACAGGTTTCATCTAGGCGTGGAACGGCATGCCTTGAACAAGTACTTCACAGCTAATGTACACCATCTATTCTTCAGGATCCACGGGGAAACAAATACAATTCTAACTAATGCCACTCCGTGTAGTTTTCTGTGTCAAGTGATTAATTTTCTCCCCTTAGCTGTTGTTGAGGGAGCACAATTATGTTTAAATGGGAAAACAAAATGAACTGATTAGCTCAAAGCATCATGGTTCCCAAGTTGATTATTGGCTGTTCCCTTAAGCTTGTATTCCACAGAGGACAGAAAATGAAGATGAATCAGATTTTCCACGGGTAATTTGCCTGTCCCCAAAGGACACAGTTTCTTCCTTAATTTTGCATCTTTAAAAGGTGATGAAATAGACCCAGTGGAAGGAAACCAGATGTGCTTTGTGGTGAAGCACAAAAGCATGAGCAAGATCCAGAGAGCCACTCCGGCTACATCCCATGACTTGGACAAGCCAAGTTGGATGTGCTGACTTCTCTGTCTCTCTCTCTCTCTCTCTCTCTCTCTCTCTCTCTCTCTCTCTCTCCCTCTCTCTCAACAGTAATGTCTTATCACACTTTATGGTCCTCGCACAACTGAATGCCCCTCTGTACTCAAAGGGTTCATGTACACAGACAGCTAGCCTGCCAGGTAGCAGGGCTTTAGCCTAGTTTTCCGCTGATATGATTGTTTTCCAATACAGCTGCAACTCTAGAAGCTGCTGTGTGTGCTAAGCACTTTGTGCTGAATGAAGTAGAGCATTCAGTCTGAAGCGGTAGAGACTAGATTTAAGTTTCCCACTTCAGTGAAAACTAGATCTCCTTCTACACTTGGAGCAAAAGCTGGGTCTAGTTTTTCATGGCCTCTGAGGCAAAATTGGAGGATTATCATTGCCTGTGCTATAGACTTATTTGGCGTTTTTTGCTGCTGCAGTCTCTTATGCAAACTGCTACACATTATGACTTTGGAAAGGGGTTATATGGGTGTCTGCCTTCTTTTCCTAAAACCAGTGATGGATTAGCACCCAAGCCCCAGGCCTTTGTATTTAGCCTATGTGAATTTATTTATATTAATAATAATTTATTTATACCCCGCCCTCCCCAGCCAAGGCTTATACTTCTATAATCAATTTAATTCACACTGAAATGAAATGTATGCATATTAATGAAGGTTTGAAATGGAAAGTGGCTAAATGTGTATAGCTGAAGAGTTGCTAACAATGGGGTTTTCCCAATTTTGTTTTCCAAAGGACTCCTTAATGGATTAATGATTAAGTATCTGATTGTTTCTCTCTGGTAGCCAACACATGGGTGTTGTAATCTTAGATCATGTGATGAAGGTATTGAGTTGCAAATCTCCATTCTAAAGGGAGTAGCCTGTTTCAGTTCCTCTGAAGTGACAGAAAGAAGAAGGAAAGAGATAATGGCTCCCTAAGAGCTGTAATAACCTGGGGCTAGAGACAGGCTAAAGCAGGCTGGAATGGGGGAGAGAGTCAGTTTGGATATTTTGAATTATCTTTTATTTCTAAGTCGCTCAGCCTGTGCTGGACAGCACAAGATACTGTATGGATATTTTGGGATGCATTGTTGATGCTTATGTTTTGTATTTTGAAGACTTCTGCTGGTAAAATTTGAATATTTTTATGGGCCTGGACAATGAGTCAGTTGTTATGCTGTGCAGTATTAATATCTGCAAATTTATCAAATTTATCTAATATTTTTCCCATTATTTTCAATTTTATTTTACATTGTTACATTCAGTTACACGTTTAGACATTCTTAACAGCACATTCCAAATTGTAACTGTTTTCAGTACTCCAGTGTGTGTGTGTGTGTGTGTGTGTGTGTGTATTTTCCTTATTCCTACCATTGTGACTTCTCTCCACCGCCTTACATCTTCTTTTAATTTTATTACTTTTTGTTATGTGTTGTGAATGTTGTTTATGTTTTCCACATAAGCCGCCTTCCCATATTTTAACTTTACAAAACTTTCCTAAAATTTAAATACTGCTTGATCATAGAAAAACCTCAGAGTGGTGAATGTGATGAATGTGGTTTTGTGCAAGGACTTCTTCATGTTCTAATGCAGAGCAGGTGGGGGGGGGTAGATGTGGAAGATGTCTGGAATGGAGATTCCCAAGTTCAAAAGGTTGTTGGTTTCTTAAAAGCGCTGACTTAACCCCTTAGTCTTTAGCTAGACTGACACTTAAGCACCTGTAACATTTGTTGGTGTTTATTTGTTTAGTCATGTCCCACTCTTCATGACCCCATGGACCAGAGCACGCCAGGCACTCCTGTCTTCAACTGCTTCCCACAGTTTGGTCAAACTCATGTTGTTAGCTTTGAAAACACTGTCTAACCATCTCGTCCTCTGTCCTCCCCTTCTCCTCGTGCCCTCAATCTTTCCCAACATCAAGGTCTTTTTCAGGGAGCCTTCTCTTCTCATCAGGTGGCCAAAATATTGGAGCCTCAGCTTCAGGATCTGTCCTTCCAGTGAGCACTCAGGGCTGATTTCCTTCAGAATGGATAGGTTTGATCTTCTTGCAGTCCATGGGACTTTCAAGAGTTTCCTCCAGCACCATAATTCAAAAGCATCAATTCTTCGGCATCAGCCTTCTTTCTGGTCCAGCTCTCACTTCCAGACATCACTACATGGAAACCATAGCTTTAACTATACGGACCTTTGTCGGCAAGGTGGTGCCTCTGCTTTTTAAGACGCTGTCTTCAAAAGAATGGTATTTTCTCCTATTATCCCTTGCATCCCTTGGCCTATCCCTCCCTTCTCTTAATCTATTGTCTCTTTCCCTCCCACAAATTTAAATTAAGAGCACAGGCTTCTTAGAAGAGGAGACTGGGTTTTAGTTCTGCTACTTTGTCAAAGCCTTATGAAAGCCACCAGCCTGAGGTTGAGATGCAGCAATCTGCTTCATTTCATCCAGCCCCCAGGCATTTTTCAGGGACTCTTCTCCCCAAAGGTGATGGACAGACATATTTGCGTCTATCAACTATGCAAATTAAAGAAAGCTGAAAATCTTTTAATTTCCATTTATCAGTAGACCCTCCAAACCTGTGTAAGCAGAGTGTTGCTTCAAGAGAGAGCAACACCCAACATTATCTTCCTTGGCATTACAATATTTTATGTATACTGATGTTTTTCATTATGATAGATAGGTAAATAGATAGGTAGGACATGCACACACACACACACCCCAGTGGGGTTTCTGCATGTTAAATGTTGTAAGCTGCCTTGTTATGTTTTATGAAATGAGTATGATAAATTGACAAATAAATAAATAAATCATTGTTCTTTCCACTCCTGGAGAAAAAAATTGTGTTATTCTTTTAAGAATGAAATTGATGAAACCAGAAGCAGCTGTGATTTGCTCTAGCAAAGTTTAACACTTTAGTCAGTTGTACAGGAAGTATTTGCTTATGAAATAAAATCATGTGTTGTGCTCATAGTTTAAAAGGAATATGTAGAATAGAAAGAGCATGCCCTGAACAGGTGTTCATAGAAAAGACCACAATTCTTGAGAGTGATGAGAATTCCACAGTTTCATTCCTTTCTGTCGCCAACACTTTCTTGTGTGTCTGGTCCCTGGAGCCACTCTGGCTATTGTGGCTATTATTTATTAGCAGAAAAAAATGCATTAAAATGCTATTTTCACACCTCTGTTTGTTTCCTTACCAATGACACGTCATGTAACCCCCCTGAGAAACAGAGCCACAAAAGTCCTGTTTTCTGAAGTAAAATAATTTTGTGAGTGTATATTTAAAATCCTGGTTCCTTCATATAAACAAACTATGGCAGAGCTTGTACCTTCACTTTCCACAGAATGGACTAAACAAGGAAAGGGAAGGGGAGGTTTCCCAGGAAGCACGCTACTGCTGCTACTTCCTAGTATGGTGATCATTTTTGTGAGTATCTAAAAATTCCAGTTTGGTACTTTTTCAGCACTTATTGAAAACTAATTCAGGGTGTTTTAATCCATTTTGACCCACTAGCCTCTCCATCTTCTTGACACCATATTACTTGGGGGGGGGGGGCTCACTTTCTTTAACTTTGCATGTCTTCACGGCTATGTCAGCTGACAACCCATGTGATTTGGTTGATACCATGAAAGTGTTGGGACGCGGGTGGGCTTGCCGATCAGAAGGTCGGCGGTTCGAATCCACGATGGGGTGAGCTTCTGTTGTTTGGTCCCTGCTCCTGCCAACCTAGCAATTTGAAAGCACGTCAAAGTGCAAGTAGATAAATAGGTACCGCTCCGGCGGGAAGGTAAACGGCATTTCCATGCGCTGCTCTGGTTCGCCAGAAGCGGCTTAGTCATGCTGGCCACATGACCCAGAAGCTGTACGCCGGCTCCCTCGGCCAATAAAGCAAGATGAGAGATGAGCGCCGCAACCCCATAGTCGGCCACGACTGGACCTAATGGTCAGGGGTCCCTTTACCTTTACCTTTATGAAAGTGTTATGATGTGATAAAACTATTAATGTACATCAGGGATGTCCAACAGGTCGACTGCAATCGACAGGTTGGCCCCCGTTGTTATAAGTCAATTGCAGGCTTATTTTCACCCGTGGGGGGGGGGAGGAGCATTTGGCCCCGCCCCTCCATCTTTCTTTTATCCGTGCACGATTTCAAGAATTGAATATGGAGTTTACGCTGGCGGGATGACTTATTGTTTATCATTTTTTGCCGCAACCCCCCCCCCCCCAAAGCAGCATAAGTATTTACTGTTCCCTTCTAAGAAAAGCTCCACTATTTTGACCTGTACCCTGCCCCCCCAAAATGGGTAGATCACTGCCATTTTTTTATTCTTTGAGTAGATAGCAGCCTCTTGGGAGTTAGGTGTCCCTGATGTACATGAATATAGCCACCTTTTCCAAATGTCATGCCTGGTGAATTTTGAGGGAAACGCTGAGTTTTCATAAGACTTGGAAAATTCATCATATTTATTAACTCTGCAACCTTTCAAAATATTAACATCATTAAAACAGAGAGAGAGAGAGAGAGAGAGAGAGAGAGAGAGAGAGAGAGAGAGAAGCAGCAGTGAAAAGAAAGAACAACCAGGAGGCTGTATTTCTTCCAAGCTCCCAATAAATCTGGCCTTTTCAGAAATGACATTCCTCTTAACAAGGTTGATGGCTTAGTAATTTAGCTTTCAAAAGTTTAGAAAGAGTTGTGGGCATCAATAAATACCAAAGTTATGTAGAAGCATCTATCTATTAAGGAGAAGATTGAGAAGTGCATCTAAACTAGAACCAGTAGTGTCAAACTTTAAAATGTTGCACACAAATTTTCAGAATACCCAAGGATGTCAAATTTGTCTTTAGTTTTCCTTAATGGGGGATCTCTTCCATCCCCCGAGGTTCATAATTCTCCAATAAATGTTTCTTGTCAACATTTAGGTGGCTGTGCTGTTGGAAGAATGTCTGTCCAATGTCTTGGTAGCCCCCAGGAGGTCTTCAGAAATATATTTCTCAATTAGGGATGGATGAATCTGTCAAATTCAATTTATCTCAGTTCCTCATTTTTCAAGTCTAGTTCAGCACATCACATTTCTACATCAGTTTGCATCTTTTTTTAAAAAAAAAAAAAAAAAAACCACTAACATTTTCGCAAGCAAATTTCCATAACATAATGCATTTTGTATACTATTTCCCCTACTTCATGCATTAATATACATTTTTTGTTATGCTTTCGTGAATGGAATGCTGTAGCACAAACTCCGTAGAAGTTTGACTTTTGAAGGATAGTGGTGTTTCGTTTCATTTTTTCTCATTGTTGCAAATTGCAACTTAGATTGGTTCACATCAACATTACTGATTCATCCCTAGCCTCAGTTGAGAGTGGGAAACAGGGGCTGAAGGGGGCAGGGGGGCACTGAGAGGAAGACCCAGGGGCTGGAAAGCAAGAACTTCCTAGGCAGACCAAACCATCCCCAGAGCACAGGCACAGCCTTCACCGGATGACCCAAATGTGCCTGGGTGAAAGTTATCACCCTAATTATGGCATACAGGTACAGTAGAAGCAGCACACCTTTATTCTTCCAACTTCCTTGTAGAACTTACCTAAATGTACTTGAATCAGTTGGAACAACCATGAAGGCAACATGGATGATACTTGCATAGAGAAGGTTGAGTTAGATGGAGCTGAAAAGAAACTAGATTATTATTATTATTATTATTATTATTATTATTATTATTATTATTAAAATTTTGTATACTGCCCAATACCCATAGATCTCAGGATGGTTCACAACATTATATATATATATATATATATATATATATATATATATATATATATATATGTATATATATATACACACACACACATACATACACAAAACACAGTACAGTGGTACCTCTGGTTAAGAACTTACCGTATTTTTTGCTCTATAAGACTCACTTTTTCCCTCCTAAAAAGTAAGGGGAAGTGTGTGCGCATCTTATGGAGCAAATGCAGGCTGCGCAGCTATCCTGCTTTCACTGTGCAGCTGTTCTTGCTGTTCTGGCTTCTGGGATTCAGAATATTTTTTTTATTGTTTTCCTTCTCCAAAAACTAGGTGTGTCTTATGGTCTGGTGTGTCTTATAGAGCGAAAAATACGGCACTTCGTTCTGGAGGTCCGTTCTTAACCTGAAACTGTTCTTAACCTGAAGCACCACTTTAGCTTATGGGGCCTCCAGCTGCCGCCACGCCACCGCTACACAATTTCTGTTCTCATCCTGAAGCAAAGTTCTTAACCCGAGGTACTATTTCTGGGTTAGCAGAGTCTGTAAAGCGTGTTCTCCTTCATGGAGAGCACGTGTTGCGGTGGGGTCTGCTGAGCCACCCCTCTGTTACCAGGCAGGGTCTCTAAAGATGGCCTGGGGCAGTGATTGGTTCACTGGGTTGCTGGGGTAAAAGTTATGTTGCAATTTTGGTGGGAGGGGTAAAATGTTTAAATACTCTGCACGCAGCCTGGAGCTTTCTCTTTGCTGCGTGCAACGGATCACCCGCCCACCCGCCCTTGAGTAAGGGGTTGTTCGCTTTGACCTTGCTATGCCTGTCATGGGGTCGTCTGCCGTTGGGGCAGGGGCCTGGTAGGAATTTTGTCCATCTGGCTGATTGGCTGGGCCATTTGGTTTTTGCCTACTGCGTAGCAAATCATCACAACTTGTAAGGTTGCGGTTAGGCATTGGTTATAAATTGGTGGAGGAGGGGTTAGGATAGGCTGGGCCTGCCCCTCCATGGTTGCTGCGGAAAGGGAATTCCGTTAAAGGAATCCTGGGGCTTGCCATCTTTTCGTCCAATCCCTGGAATGGGACTAGGGCCGGCAAGCCTTCGGGGAGCATTCGGATGAGAATTGAGGGTCTGTGACTCAGCTCCATTTCTCCCCGACTTGTTTTCCCTCAATGTCTTTCGGTGGTGCCCGGAAGTCAGTTCTGTCCCCAGGCGGGGGGACAGATAGTCTTAACCAATGCCTAAACAACCACTCACGGTTTTGTATTTAAATAAAGTTGTGCCCAAAATTATGCCAAAAACCTTAAACAAAAATTAAGTGTGCATTGTGAGTTATTTGGGGGGTGGCTTGGGGACCTCGACACGCAACCTGATGCGGCTGTAACCTGAAGCGTATGCAACCCGAGGTACCACTGTACATAGTAAAAGCAAAGAATAAAGATTATTATGCAGTCGAGTTTTCTGCATTTGGAGAAATTTCAGGGGTCAGCACTCCCACAGTGCAAGGGATGGGAAAACTGCCTTCTTAATCAAGGAGTCTCCCTTGCCAGGTAAATATTATTGAAGTTGTAGCCCGTATTCAGATTCTTGAGGATCAGGCTTGGATGGAAGTGTCCAGTTGATCAAACCATTGTTTCAGATTCAGCATGCAAAGAAGCAGGAAGTTGGCGACCTTTATTTTAGAGGACTTCCTATTACCTTCCAGCCTTGCAGAAATAAAGCTTCACCCAGTTCCAGCTTGCCTTGAATATTTGCTTCAAACCCTCGGAGGTTCTGAAAGATCTCTGAATTATCTTTTCAGAAAGCCAGCCTCTAATTATGTAGTCAGAATTATGCTATATTTCAACTGTTGTCAGGTGGCTGCCTGGCTGCTTTTTCAGCTGGCTTTGTTTTTATTATTATCTTTTAATTCTTTACAGCCATACACTTTGCCACACAGACAGTGCATCTCTTTAAAACGTCACTTGCTTAGCAATTATGTTTCGATGTTTTACATTCTCTTGAGATTGGGAAAAAAGGAGTTCTCTTTCTCTCTCTCTCTTTAAGCAGTCGAAAATTATATATCCCTCTTGATGACTGATGGATGGCTGAGGGTTGCCTCATAAAACAGCATTCCAGATATGCCAATAACGCAAGTTCCACCAACATTTCAGGACTTTTGAAACTGATTTGCAACCCATTTTGCACTGTATTCTTTTTTTAAAAAAGAAGGAAACAGAAAAAGAAAGAAAATACATATTATAGCCCCAGAACAGGAGCCCTACATATTTTCTGTTTATTGGCTACATTTGCTCTTTCCTTTCCCTTTTTCTATAGAGTTAGAATGCAGAAACACCATTTTGGGGAGGTCAGGGATCAACCACTGTGCTTCAAATCAGCTTTACACGCTGACAGAAGTCTAGTTCTCATTTAGATGCTAAATCATCATCTGGGCTGTTGCATGTTGGACTGCGGGTGAGATCTCCAATGTCTGAATGTTCATGTTCCTCACTATATCCCTACATATTAGGGCGGTTCATAAAACCCTTTTTTTTAAATGCCTGCTCCAGAGGTCTTAACTTACTACACTAGGGATTATATAGCTATATCTGAAATTCCAGGCATATCAGTTAATATCTTGACCCTCCTCCACAAAAATAGCTGTTTACTTGGCCGTTTCCCTATGTCGTGAAGGCTGAAATTTCAATTCAGTGGAGCAGGGTCAAGATATTAACTGATAAGCATGGAATTTCAGATACAGTGGTACCTCGGGTTACAGATGCTTTAGGTTACAGACACTTCAGGTTACAGACTCCGCTAACCCAGAAATAGTACCTTGGGTTAAGAACTTTGCTTCAGGGTGAGAACAGAAATCGTGTGGTGGCAGCGCAGTGGCAGCAGGAGGCCCCATTAGCTAAAGTGGTACCTCAGGTTAAGAACAGTTTCAGGTTAAGAACAGACCTCCAGAACGAATTAAGTTCTTAACCCAAGGTACCACTGTATAGCTATATAATCCCTAGTGTAGAAAGGTAAGACCTTTGGAGCAGACATTTTTTAACAATTTTTTTTTTTTATGAACCGCCCTACTACATATGCTAAATTAACATAAAAGGAAGAAGACTAACAGCACAATGCTATGCACAATTGCTTGGAGATATCCCCAAGAAACACTGGGAACTGTTCTGAAGACCTCTTTGCAGATTCCCCCACTCCCATTCTTTGCGGAGGGGTTGGATGGAATTTTGTTTGCACATTTCCTCTCATGTCTCTCTAGCAGAAAGGGCTAGATACTTGACAAGAAGAAGAAGAAGAAGAAGAAGAAGAAGAAGAAGAAGAAGAAGAAGAAGAAGAGATAATGTGAAGTAACCCTGTTTTAGAATCTGTCCTGTAGCACAATGGGTCATTACGTGGGGCTGTTAACCAGAAGGTTGATGGTTCAAGTCCACCCAGGGATGTCTGTGGGCAGGTTTCCTACATTGCAGGGGGTTGGACTGCAGGGGGTTCAACTCTATGCTTCTACAATCTCCAAGGCAGATAGGCACAGAGACACGCACACACTAGCTTGCGGCAGATCCTAGTGTGTTTGATTCTTTTCATAGAAGCCCATTGGATTTAGGTGCAAAGGCCTTTATGCATCCTGAACTCAGCAAGACATTGTTTTCCCTTTCAAGCTTTTTGTTTTGTTTTCAGTTTTGCTCGCCTTAATGCCCTTTTAATGCATTTTGTTGCTGTGGAAGCCATTTAGAAGCAAGGTCATTAATCACTCCGTGTGTAATGCAATGTGCCCTGGTTTCATTAAAAGTGCCACTAAAACCCTGTTTAACTAGCTCACAGAGAATCTGGAAACAGATCTATTAATGTATAATTGTGTGTGCACATGTCAGCATGTATGTTCTTGTGCTGCTCATGGGCATGGCTTGGGAAAACCCGACCCAAATCACAGCACATTATTAAATGATTAACATACGAAATCAATTCAAAACATTATTATTAATAGAGTAAGTTACCAGGGAAAGCTATTAGTCATAGTCTCTTCTGTTTTCTGCCCAGAAAACAATCATAAGAGCAATCAGTTTTACCACTTCTATGTAGCAATTTGGCTGGCAGCTACGGGCAGATGAAATGATGATGCAGCTATGAAAACAAAGAGGGCTGGTGAGTAACAAAGTAGTAAAAGCTCAGAAAATAAAATGTGCCAAGATAGCTGACTGAATCAGTAAGGGAATATTTCTACCCACAATGAGCCCCAGAGCTGGGGGTTGAGTTGGTAATCTATAAGCCCATTTTCTCCACTTCTTTGATTATTTTTAAAAAAATATTATTTTTTTGATGTTTGCACAATCACATTTAGAGTTTGGCAGTGATAATTTAGTGTGATTTTAAGACATGGGTAGGCAAACTAAGGCCCGGGGGCTAGATCTGGCCCAATCACCTTCTAAATCTGGCCCGTGGACAGTCCAGGAATCAGCGTGTTTTTACATGAATAGAATATGTCATCCTTTTATTTAACATGCATCTCTGGGTTATTTGTGGGACCTGCCTGGTGTTTCTACATGAGTAGAATGTGTCCTTTTGTTTAAAATGCATCTCTGGGTTATTTCTGGGGCATAGGAATTCATTCGTTTTTATTTTTTTCAAAATATAGTCCACCCCCCCCCCCCAAAGTCTGAGGGACAGTGGACTGGCCCACGGCTGAAAAAGTTTGCTGACCCCTGTTCTAAGACATGCTGCACCAGCGAAGGAGGACTTACAGTAGAAAGAGCACTTATAGAGAGCTGGCTCAATACAATAGGACTGGACAACTGGTACCCTTTGGATTCAAAGTGGCACACAGAAATTTTCTCTCTGATCTCCATCCTAAGGCAGTGCCACTCCTCATTCTGCACCTCACCTGCAAACTCCAAGACACAGTCGATATTTCTCTTAACCTCCCCGGTTGCAGCAGAAGCTCTTATCTACCTCAGCTACTTTCTCTGATTTAGGCATGTGCAAGGTGCTATTTTACCCACCCTCCTGTCTGCCAGGCAGGTGGGCATGAACATAACCAAGACTCATAGTTTTCCCTTTAAGTAGATCTTGCATTTCTTCACATTTTGCCCTATGATTCAGGTGTGTAATGGGAGAAATCTGACAGAAGCTCCTCTTGCCATTAATGGTGGAGAGAAAGAGGTCAAGGGCCTTCTATCAGTGTCTTGGTTCATGCCAGGGGCAACATCACTTTGGAGAAACAACCTTCATTTCTGAGGTAAAGTCTATTTTAACATGTGTAATGGGAATCAGACATATGTAGCTGAATATAAATGGTCTAACTGTACGTGAACTAGACTTTCTTCTGAGAGCTGTGGCGCTGCAAAGAATCAGCAGGAGGGTATCAACCAATCCATTTCACTGATATGTTACATTGTGCCAAAACAAAGGTAGCTCTGGGAACAAGGTTTCTTTCTTCAGTGGGCTGAAAACTTGTGAGACCTAATTGGTCAGTCAGTGGGTATTCTGCCTTATCCCATTGGAGCAGAGATTTGACCTGATGAGGGTGTGGTGGGGGTGAATGATTGGCTGGAGAGAGACCCTGTTTGGAGATTAAAAGGCAGATTTCAAGCCACAGTTGGTCAGAGTGGGATTTTGTCTGAGGATGTGTGATGTAGATGGCTTAGGAAAGTGAGAGCCAAGCAGAGGAAATACAGCAGAGGTGGAGAACCCTTAGCCCTCCAGATGTTTCTGAACTACAGCTCCCATGCTTGCTGGGGCTGATGGGACTTATACTTCAGCAACATCTGGAGGGTCATAGGCTCCTCACTCCAAAGTCAGTTGAAGCCCCTGAGAACAATAGTCTTTGGTACCATATTCAAGACTGCCTCAGCCAGCTCAGGCAGGGAGGATATAAGCCGCAGAGTGGGCAATATGCCTGCAGCATCCCCAACCTGTCTCTCAACCAGTCCAACTCCTAATTGATGTAGTTGCTTGGTGGCAGAGAAGTCCCATGGATCACAGAGACAATGCACACACATACATGGTCTCTTGGTCTGCCACAGTGCTGCACCGAGTACTTGGGTGGGCAGAGTAGTGAGATTAGGCTCACGTTACTCACCCACCCAGGTCTTGGTGGTCCATGGCAGGTTGGTCTCTTTATCCACAAGTAAGCTGTGTATGATGAGATAAGAATCCAATGTCTCTATTTCAGACCAGGTCTCTCCATGGTTTTAAGTTTGGCAATAAGCTGCAATTCAGCAACTTGGCTTGGTAGGCAGGCTTCGGAGCTCCGCTGATAACAGGACTGTAGTTGGGGTTGACTGCCACCCAGGGAAGTAGTTTTTCCTTTTTTACTTCTCTACTTTTTAACTTACCAAGATTCTGGCAGCACCTTCTTGTCAATGCTGTGGGAGACATCCTGGGCAAGTTCTGTGAAGCATCCTGGGCTATGCTCTATCTTTGTCACCAAACTCTGAGTATAAATTGCACACTGTATTAATTGATATTGTTTTTAACATTAGTGACCATGTGATGATTTTAGCTTATGAATTTTATCGTTTAATGTTTTTATTTGTACATTGGGGTACTTTTATAGCTTTGTTTAGAGTATGTAATGTTTTAATAATATAAATGTTTTAAGTCTTTTTTTACCAATTCAGTATATTTTCTTTTAATTGTCAAATAATTCTGTGTACATTGCGGCAGCCTTTGGCTATGTGCAATAAAACTGACTGAGACTGAGTATGACTGAGGTCTTCTTATGAACCAATGTGACATTCAGTAGCAGCACTATCAAGTCAGGGGGATTAGCAATGGAAGAGGAACCTCCTCTGAATATTTGCCCCCCTCTATTTGGCCATGCCTCCCTTTGCCCCAAATCATGGCAATAGGTGCCACATTGTCCTCATTGGCAACCAATATACCACCAAGTTAAATCCTGCTACAAACCAGACTGCATACACACAGAGTACTTCTTCTTCCATTTTCTGAAAGAGGAAGTTGTCAGCAAGATATGTCAGGGGTTTGTTGCGGGTTCCATACTTAGTGGAGCTTGTCTTTAAGCAGAGATATCGGGATAATTGAAATAATAATTCTTGGTTCCTTGAAACTAGGGCAGCGCATGACCTCACCTCCACTAGATCTTTGTCCTCTAGTGAAGATAATTTCTTTGATCTTTGTAGGGTTTCTGTAAAAATCACACCACTTACAAAGCAGTCAGAAGGTTTTTTTCAAAAAAAAAATGTTAAAAAATGGCAAGCTACTGTATTCAGTAGTTGACTTCAAATTAGTTTAAGAATCTCTTAAGAATAGCACTGGGAACAGGGCTACATGATGGAGTACAGTGGTACCTCGGGTTAAGTACTTAATTCGTTCCAGAGGTCCATTCTTAACCTGAAACTGTTCTTAACCTGAAGCACCACTTTAGCTAATGGGGCCTCCCGCTGCTGCTGCGCTGCTGGAGCATGATTTCTGTTCTCATCCTGAAGCAAAGTTCTTAACCTGAAGCACTATTTCTGGGTTAGTGGAGTCTGTAACCTGAAGCGTATGTAACCCGAGGTACCACTGTAGTTTGGTTTCCAGTGAAGCTGTATGGGGAAAAGATGGCTGCCCACATTCTATTAACTATTATTGATAGAAAATGTATGGGAAACTGAAGTTTTTTTGGAATTCCTCAGGGAATTATATCTCTATATAAAGTCTTCCTCCCTTTCTGTAGGAATAATTCCCAGTTATATTCTCTTACACTTATCTATTCCTGTGCAGTTTAAGTGGATGGAAATTGTATTTCAAGGAACTCTGGCAAGGTGCAAATTAAATTACTGTGGGTTCTTTTTTAATTTACACCTTCTAGACAAAAGCATATTAAATGGAACTTTGGCTTCAGAAAGAGTGGGTGTAAACCTTAGGTTGCTGTTTACTCTGAGCTGCATTTCCATTTCATGTGTTCATTTATTTCAGCCTCTGAAGACTAAATAGTATCAAATTGCAAATAATGGTGTGGTGGTAAAACATTTACCCAAACTTTTTCACAGCTCAGGTAAAATAGAATAAAGTACAAACTGAATCAATCAATCAAAAACAGCTGGCAGACACATTCCAAAAAAATGCTGTTAACTCCTTGGCTTGGGCAAAATGGCCATAACGATGGCTTAGCCTTATCAGGTAGCTTTCCATGAGCTACTGGACTAAGTTCAAGGTGCTGGTTTTGATGTGAAAAGCCATATATAGCTTGGGACAAAGATGTTGTAAAGAAGTTTTTATTGCTTTATCACTTGTGGCTTGCTTTCCTAGGCTCCTTTGGGAAGCAGGGCAGGGTATAAATTTAATAGGTAGATGGATGAACATTCGTAAAACCCAAGCTTCCCTATTCGAAACAATTTTTTTTTACTCCTGATATGAAAGAAGGGTGATGGCGGCAAATTCACTTGCAGCTGTTTGTGAGGATTTCTGACTTCTTTAAATTATAGGTAAAAGTGTCATCTTGCCTTTTAATAAAATACTCTCCCTCTTTTTATGCAGGGCTTTAACTCCTCTGTTTTAACTTACAGCAGGGATGAATGGTGTTTTCATGAAAACTTTTGCTCCCTTTGAAAACAGCCCCTACTTGGGAATTTAACAGGTATGTACGCATGTTTGCTTTCCCTCTGCTCCACCTATACATTTGCAAACAAACAGGTATGTCCCCAATAGTCTCACTTCACAAGGAAATGGAGTGGGTGACTGGAGAAAACGCCTTTTCTGTGGTAGCCCCCTGGTTATAGAATGCTTGCCTTGGGGATGTTTTACCTGGCGCCAGGTAAAAGCATTCCTCTATGACCAGGCCTTTGGCTGATTAAGCAGTCTATGTCCTTTTAAATGTGTTTATGGGAGGAGGTTATTGTCTTTTTTTAAAAAAAAAAATTATGATCATTTGTATTTTGTGTTTTCATTTTGTATTTTTATGCTGTAATCTGCCCTATGATCTTCAGATGAAGGGTGATATATAAATTTAATTAAATAATAACAATAATAATCATTATCTTTTTTGGTGTCCTGGACATTTGAACAGCACTAGTGGCCTGGGATTTTGTGATTGTCTGGTGCTTATTTTTTTGTTGAATGCGGGGGTTGTGGGGGCGAGTATTTTAAATTTTTAGATTATTTTTGGTAGGTGAACACTGCAATATGTTTCTATGGTGTTGTTCTTTTAATGGGTATTTAATATACATTGTACTTTCTGTATTTTTACTTCTTTGTTCTGCAAATTACTTTGAGACTTCCCAAGTACTGGTGTAAGAAATGAACTAAACAGTTTAGAAACCCAAAACAAGTAAGCCTCACTTACTTCAGTGGAACTTACTCCCAGGTAATGATATAAAGGATGACAGCCTTATTTCCTACCAACATCAGTGAAATCAGGAGCAAAAAAGCCAAGCTATTTCCTCTTTATGCATCATTTTGTTGTTGGTGCCTTTTATTCTGCAAATGTGACTCTTGTCAGTTGCATTAAAGGGAAAAAGAGTACTCAAGCCATTCTCTTTTCAGTCTCCCCTACCCACACCTGCTATTAGGAGATGTTCTAGAAAAAGGAAAGGAAAATGATCCAATTTCAATGATTTATTGCGCGAGGGAATCCAGTTTACATGGGCAAAAGTGTTGTGATAATTTTATCCTTTCCAATAACAGCATGTACATATGTTCAACCTGTAGATGTGGCAGTAAAAATGACAGTTGGTGATTGTTTTCTGAGTAAAGGACAATATAAAAACTTGGTTTCACTTTAATTGTGCTGTTCTGCAGCCCTCTTCATGCATGGTAAGGCGAGGCTGGCTCATTCTTCTTTGAAACTACACAACTATAATTTCAAAACCCTAAAGAGTAAGCTTGTTTGCATATGCCATTTTATTATCTTCCCCCCACAACCCCCACAATATGTTCACAGAGTGGCACATTCATTACACCAGAGAGAGTCTGTTTGGTATGCATTTTGAAATATGCAGTATATTCTTGAAGCTGCATAAATGTCTCTAGCTGTTCTTTGTAATCAACTCTTTGCAGCTTTCCAGGAAGAAATTCTTGCTGTTAGTTAGAATTTCTGCACATGCATTGCTTCTGAATACGATTTCGCTAGTGAATGCCCACTGAAAGGTCGGTGGCCTCTCTCTCTCTCTCACACACACACACACACATGCACACACAAACACACACACCCTCAAAAAGAAAAAGAAAAATGAACTGCATAATAAAAGAAGAAAACAAGTGTGGACACAAATATACATATGCTAACTAATGCTTAGGGACGTGGGTGGCGCTGTGGGTTAAACCACAGAGCCTAGGCTTTGTCGATCAGAAGGTCGGCGGTTCGAATCCCCTGCAACAGGTGAGCTCCCGTTGCTCGGTCCCAGCTCCTGCCCACCTAGCAGTTTGAAAGCACGTCAAAGTGCAAGTAGATAAATAGGTACCGCTCTGGCGGGAAGGTAAACGGCATTTCCGTGCGCTGCTCTGGTTCACCAGAAGCGGCTTAGTCATGCTGGCCACATGACCCGGAAGCTGTACGCCGGCTCCCTCGGCCAACAAAGTGAGATGAGCGCCGCAACCCCAGAGTCGGTCACAACTGAACCTAATGGTCAGAGGTCCCTTTACCTTTACCTTTAACTAATGCTTATGGATCAAAATATAGAAATAAATGCTGTAAAATAAATAGGAATTTAAATGCAATATATCTTGATGAGTGGGAAGATTGCCAACCGGTGACCTGGGTGCCTGCCTGGTGTGAACAAAAAAACAAAAGAAGAGCCTACTAGATCAGGCCAATGACCTGTCGGGCTTGAGAAATTCTTTCCCTCCCCCTGATGGTTTCCGGAATCAGGGAGAAAACAAGAAAGCTCTGACTTATGATTTATTCGACCAGTAAGGTAGAAGACAAAGAATTCAGTCCTTTCCCCATGATGGAGTTGCTCACTTTGGCTCCTCCCCCTTCCCTTTGGCACCTGACCCTACAAAGTGGTCAATTGACTTTACGTTCGTTGCTTTTGCACCCTTAACAAACTCCTCCCCCCAACAAGGAAAATTTGTGGCAAAAGTATGGATGTTGCAGACAAACCTAATAATGCTTATCTATGCTAGTTGGTAATGAAGGGGTTAAGGACCCAGAGCTGTAAATTGCTAGAAAAGGCACTGCTTGGTTACGCACCCTCACCTTCAAAGAGGGAGGCAGTAAGGGCTGTTTCCTGTTACTGTCTCTCTCCCTCTTTTCAGCCTAGGACCCTTGTACGTATGGGACCGTCTCTCTTGGTATGTCCCACAGAGGACCCTAAGGTCCATGAGTAATAATAGCTTAAAGGTCCTGGGCCCTAAGGAAGCCAGGCAATCCTCCACCAGGGCCAGGGCTTTTTCAGTGATGGCTCCGACCTGGTGGAATGCTCTGTCAATCAATCAATCAATCAATCAATCAATCAATCAATCAATCAGTTTATTACAGTCATAGACCAGCAGTCAGAGAATAGAATATTAAGTGGATAAAAAACAAAACTGATAATTAAAACAGATAGAAACTAAAAACAAATAAAAACATTCAGTAAAACAGATAATTAAAACAATGTACAACAATGAATTTAGACACACTGTGCAACAATAAACTATCCCAGGGAGTTGACTCAGAGTCACCCATGGAACCGGGTTTGGGGATTTTCATGCCGGACTATTTTGAGTTGGGCGATGATCTGCATCTACAGATTTGCACACAGAATCTGGCGACCATCCAAGTCTTCTTCTGGTCTTTGCCTAACAGCAAAAGGTCAAATTTTTGCTTTTGCGGGAGGTCAGCAAGCCTCACCAGTAGGGGATCAATGAACTTACTGCGTGCCTCTTTGTAAAAGGGACATTTAAAGAATAAGTGTTCTGGGCTTCCTATCTCCCCCAATGGACAGGTGCAAAGTCTCTGGGCATAGGGGACTTTTCTAAAGGCTCCATCCAGGACCGGTGAGGGAAGGGCCGCGCTTCTGGCAAGTGTAAAGGCCCTTATTGCATTTCTAGATACAAGAAAGGAGAGATATGCTGCGGTGCGGCTATGTATCTCTCGATTTCTCCAATTTTATAGTTGGGGCACCTTGTGCAGTCCTGTTGTCTCTCAGTATCTAATATTCTTTGCCTGATCGTGGCTTTTGCCTGGCCCAAGCCCAGACTTAGAAGGGCTTGAGGGGCAAAACCCAGTTTCTGGAGGGTGTTCAGGACTGCAGTCTGCCAGCCTGACTGGATCAGTGGGGCTATCCCTCGGGGGAGCAGATTTAATGTCAGCCGTTTGTATATTGATGTTAAGCAAATACTAACCTCCACTCTCATCATCTCATCAAAAATAAAAAAAATTAAAAAATGCTCTGTCCCACGAGACCAGGGCCCCGCAGGACTTGATCTCCTTCCACAGGGCCTCTAAGATAAAGCTATTACACCTGGCCTTCAATTTGAATTAGCCTGATCCTCTGTTCCCTTTCCCCTTTCCTCTTCTGTGAAGAAACCCTTTCTGACACCCCACATTTAAATTCTTCCCTGGTCCTCTTGCTGGCCCTAGTAGGACAAACTTGGCTGGTTAGCCCTGGTGATCATTTGATGTCTACTGACTGGGGTCCCCCCCCTTCAAAAAAATGACCCCATAACTTTTGAATTTTATTGAAATTGATGCTGCATTTTATGTTGTATTTTATGCTGTTTTATGCTGTTTTAGTCACATTTTAAACAGTGTTTTATATTTGCTGTTAGCCGCCCTGAGCCTGGTTTTTAAACTGGGAAGGGTGGGATATTATTATTATTATTATTATTATTATTATTATTATTATTATTCTCTTTGAACCATGTAACTTAGCAGATGTGTTTTGAGACCAACATCTGTATTTTGTAGCCAAGAATACCTTCCTTACATTGTTTCTTCTATAACATTGAACAATGCATGAGTGAGACCACTTGTTACTGTAAGTAAAGCATTTAAACTTACTTAAGATTGTGGTCTATTAACTCTAACAGGGATAGAGGCTGGGGAGCACACTGTCAGTGCTTAATACTGCAATATTTAAAAGTATAACAACCTATATTTCCTGTGCTTTCAAAGTGATGCACGTATTTCTGTTTTAAACTGCTGGAGGAATGGCGTATTCTAGGGAGTGACTCAAGCCCCGCATGCTTTTTGAATTCATGCAGTCAGCCATTTTTATTTTACTGTTTCCCACACATGTGGGACTTCAGGACTAACTTGGTCTTCTCTTCCCCAAGTTATTTCCCTACAATAAGAAGTTACAGGATTTCATCTGGTAATTACAGGACAAGCATGGATTGGAAACAAAGCGGCATACACCCTCCAAAACTTTACAAGCACAAACAGTATTGAAAGTGGGGTTGCATATAGATGCCACAATAGCATGAACATAAATCATCATGAGGGACGTGGGTGGCACTGTGGTCTAAACCACAGAGCCTAGGGCTTGCCGATCGGAAGGTCGGTGGTTCAAATCCCCGCGATGGGGTGAGCTCCCGTTGCTCGGTCCCAGCTCCTGCCCACCTAGCAGTTCGAAAGCACGTCAAAGTGCAAGTAGATAAATAGGTACTGCTCTGGCGGGAAGGTAAACGGCATTTCTGTGCTCTGCTCTGGTTCGCCAGAAGTGGTTTTGTCATCCTGGCCACATAACCCGGAAGCTGTCTGCGGACAAACGCCGGCTCCCTCGGCCTATAGAGTGAGATGAGCACACAACCCCAGAGTCGTCCGCGACTGGACCTAATGGTCAGGGGTACCTTTACCTTTACTTTAAATCATCATGAATGCACAATAATGACGGGAAGATGAGAGGGAGGAGAAAAAACAGCAGAAAAAGGAATGGAATGAGAAGTATGGAGGATTCTTGCCTGACAACTGGCGCTGGAGCACCTTCCTTATCCTTTGGGACTGGAAATACATTTAGTTTCCTTAAACAGTTATAATATTAATGGAATGAGTGCTTTTAAATTTATAAAACATCACTGTGGATTAACAGTGAACAAATATCTGTTTCATGAGCAAATGAACATGGCAAGGCATAGAAGCAGGGAATTAAATTGATTATTTGTACAGTGGAACTTCGACTTACATACGCCTCGTCTCATGGATGTTCCAAGTTGCGCCTGCAGCAAACTCTGAAGTAGACACCGGGTTTGCCGTGATTCACGCATGCACGGTAGCGGCTTCTGCCATCTGTGTGTGCACAGAAGCAGCTGCCTCTGTCTGCACATGCGCAGAAGCGCACTACCGCCGAATGAGCACACGCACAAGACGCCTCTTCTAACGTCCCGTTTCGACCAGCAGACGGATTATGTCCGTAAGTAGAGGTTCCACTGTATAGACTTCAGAGCCTGCATTCACCCATATGAGTAGTCCTGAGCAGAGTGCCTTTCAATGCCGGCATTTTGATATTTAGAACCGCCATCCTTCTCAGATGGAATGGATTTTCATTTTCAAAGAGTATGTTGTGTCATATCTGCTTTCTGTATTTCTCTGACGTGAGGAGGCATGGTACTCTGTCTTCTTCTACTCCACCTCCTCTTGTGCCCTGTCCTCTCTCTCGCAGGTGCAACTGTAGCAAGAGTGGAGCAAAATGACAGTAGTGATGGCAATGGCTGCTGGGAACTTGGCAGCCTGCTTCATTCAATCCAAGAATTGGATTGTCTACTGGCTTGTCTGGGCACTCAACAGGTGGCAGCTGCTTTCCTTGAAGTTGGACTGAATTCCTACGCTCACCTGAGAATCACGAAATCTTAGAGTTGTAAAGGGATCCCAAGGGTCATCTAGCCAACCACTAAAATTCAGGAATCTCAATTAAAGCATCTTTAATATGATCTTCTGTTAGCGGAGCTCAAAAAGGTTCCGTGGAGCTGAGGAGGATGGAGTAGATGGGCTGATGATCAGAGCAGTGCTGGAAGACTCTGGCTAAACATGAGCAGTGTCAAAAGGTTCCTGTTTTTTTACTCTATCGATCTGCCTGCTTGGTGTCCGTCAGCAGAGGCACATCAAACTGTTAAGAGCCTTTTATGGTTTGGCTTGCAGAGGGGAATGAATATGAACTCTCAGAATCCTTCTGTCACCAATTTGCAAGACACTTTGCACAAATTGCTTGCATCTGCTCTGACTTGGATCGACGTCTGCAGGGTCTGTGCTGAAGTTGTCTAGCGTACATTCCTGTCAGATTCATATGGTCATGCCTTAAAGTGAGGTAGACCACAAAGAGCATACAGTGGTACCTTGCTTCTCAAACTTAATCCGTTCTGGAAGTCCGTTCCAAAACCAAAGCGTTCCAAAACCAAGGTGCACTTTCCCATAGAAAGTAATGCAAAACGGATTGATCTGTTCCAGACTTTTAAAAACAACCCCTAAAACGGCAATTTAACCTGATTTTTACTATCTAACAAGACCATTGATCCATAAAATGAAAGCAATAATCAATATACTGTACTATAAAATAAATAAGACAGTATTGTAGATGATAAAAATTAAAATTATTATTTTTTCCTTACCTGAACTGATGATAGTCATTGTTTGGATAGGGGGCTTTTATCCATTTCTGCAGTCACACAATC